TTTATGATTAATGTAGTCAATGCTATAACCGGAAGTAGTGAGCCTTACTTATACAGAGGTGAAGATTGTATGGATAAATTTGTTGAGAAAATCAATGAAGTCAGAGAAGATATTATTAGTAGGATGAAGGAAGTAAAAGAGATAATCATGACTGAAAAGGACAAGGAAGATTTTGAAAATGCTACTACTTGCTTTATCTGTGGAAATGATTTTAAACCTGAGGACAAGAAGGTTCGAGACGCCTCGCCAGAGGCTCACGAGACTTCCCTTCCTTCAAGAAGGAAGGTTCGTGACCATTGTCACTTTACTGGAGCTTACAGAGGATGCGCCCACGATGATTGTAATCTTGGTTTTAGTATGAGATATTATAAAATCCCTGTGTTTCTTCATAACCTTAAAAACTATGATGCCCACTTAATCATCAACAAGGCTCACGAACTGAACAAGAATTCTAAAATAGAATGTATCGCTCAGAACAGCGAAAAGTTTATAACCTTTGGTTTTAAAAATCTTTGTTTCAAGGACAGTTTCAGTTTCTTATCGTCTTCGTTGGATAAGTTGGTGAAGTTGAGTAAATATGAGGATGATAAAAAGCGTGAGAATTGGAAGAACAATTTCAGATACAGCGTTAGAAACCCGTATGTTAAAACCGATGAAGATTTGGATTTATTGACCGATAAGGGTATTTATCCCTATGACTACTTTGATGATTTTGAAAGATTTAAGGAAAGGGCTTTACCACCGAAAGAAGCGTTTTACAGTAAATTGAGTGAAGAACATGTAAGTGATAAAGATTATGAAAGGGCACTGAAAGTATGGAAGCACTTCGGGATTAGAACACTCGGGCAGTATCACGACTTGTATTTAAGAACTGATGTTTTACTACTGACCGATGTATTTGAAAACTTTAGAGACTTGTGTATGGAATACTACGGTTTAGACCCCGCTCATTATTACACATTGCCAAATTTCGCATGGGACGCGATGCTTCTAAAAACTGGTGTTGAAATAGAACAATTGCATGACCAAGAAATGTTTGAGATGGTTGAAAAGGGAATGAGAGGTGGAATGTGTCAGGTTAGTCATAAATTAGCGGTGGCAAATAATAAGTATATGGGGGAAGCATATGATGAGAACAAGCCATCAAATTATATTAGTTACTTGGATGCTAATAACTTGTATGGTTTGGCAATGTCCCAGAAGTTACCGCTAAAAAATATCAAGTGGGCAAAGAAAACTCCCATTGTTGAAAAATGGAATGAAAACGATGAGTTCGGTTATATTATGGAAGTTGATTTGGAATATCCCGAAACATTGCACGACTTCCACTCTGACTATCCACTAGCGCCTGAAATAATGAATGTAAATGTGAATATGCTTTCCGATTATCAAAAGCAAGTCTTCAAAATATATTATGATGGTAAAAGTCCCAAGGACGAGAAAACAAGTAAGTTAATATTAAATCTAAAGGATAAAGAAAAATATGTGGTTCATATTAAGACTTTACAGTATTATTTGAAAATGGGAATGAAAATGGGTAAAGTCCATAGGATAATAAAGTTTCAACAGAGGGCATGGTTGAAACCGTGGATTGACTTTAACACTGGTAAAAGGAAAGAAGCGAAAAGCGATTTTGAGAAAGATTTATTTAAATTAATGAATAACGCGGTGTACGGAAAAACTATGGAAGACAAGCGAAACCATATGGATTTTGAATTAGTTGATAATGAGGTAAGATATGAAAAATGCGTTAATAATCCAACATTCAAAAACCGATTTATTATAAATGAAAATCTGGTGGGAGTTGAAAAAACTAAAGCGAAACTGAAACTGGATAAACCGATTTTCCTGGGAATGAGCATTTTAGATTTAAGCAAATTACATATGTATCAGTTTTACTATGATGTATTGAAAAAGAAGTATAATGAAAACATCAAACTGGTTTATACCGATACTGACAGTTATGTAATTCAAACAATGACTGATGATGTCTATAAGGATTTCAATGATATAAAGCAACACATGGATTTTAGCGACTATCCTGTTGAGCATCCATGTCATGACAAAACTAATAAGAAGGTCTTAGGAATGTTTAAGGACGAAGTGAATGGAAAAATCATTACTAAATTCATCGGATTAAAACCTAAATCGTATGCCTTCACAATTCATGGTGAGGTTGATGAACATAAGAAATCAAAAGGTGTAGTGAAACACAAAGTGAAAAAAGAACTGTCGTATCAGAACTACCACGAAGCATTATTTCAAAACAAAAAGCACGAAATCACATATAATTTTATTAGGAGTCGCAACCATCAATTATTTTCAATGTCTCAAGTCAAGCAATCTCTCAGTAATTATGAAAATAAAAGACATTACTTAGATGCCTTTACTTCGTTGCCGTATGGACATTACAGGATTAAAGAGTATTAAAGGTTAAACCTCATTAGTTGTATATATGGAGGAAAACCGACCATTAAATAAATACAAAGATGGCAAAGTTTATGCTGTGAGAAATACTGTTGATGATACAATCTATGTAGGAAGCACAATTCAACCATTACACAAACGGTTTTTTGAACATAAATGTCGTGTCAATAAAGGTCGTGAAAGGACAAAAGCATTGTATTTAAAAATGAATGATTTAGGTGTAGATAAGTTTTACATAGAACTCATTGAACATGTCCCATGTTGTTCGCGTGAAGAACTTAATAGAAGGGAAGGTGAAATCATTAGAGAAAACACGGTTTGTAATTCAAATATAGCAGGTAGAACAAAAGCGGAATATAGACACGAAACAAAAGAAAAGAAGAAGGACGCCGACAACAAATATTACATTTCACATAGGCAAGAGTTAAAGCAGAAATTCAAGGAATACTACAAAGCCCATAAAGAAGATATTAAGCATAGAAGCAAAGAAAACGCTTTCAACAATAAGGAACATCGGGAAGAATACATCAAAGAATATTTCAACAAAAACAAAGATAAGATAGAGGAAAGACAAAATCAAAGGATTGTTTGCTCCTGTGGGTTAGGCATAAGACGAGCAGATAAAGCACAACATTTGAAAACAGAGAGACATCAACGATTGATGGATAAACTGATGCCATCGGATGAAAATATTAATATCTAAATATCTCTAATAAGAATGAAATTATTAGAGATGTTTAGCGGGACAGGCTCGGTTGGTCGGGTCGCTCGGGATTTGGGTTTGAAACTGGAAATGTGGGTTTGGGGATGAGGTTGAAACTGAAAACATTAAAGTTTATGTATTTGTTGGTTTTGGGGGAGTTGAAAATGGGTCTCCCTGAAATTGGAGGAGAGGTCTCCCTGAAATTGGGGGAGAGGGCTCCTTGAATGTGGGTCTCCCTGAAAATGGAGGAGAGGTCTCCCTGAAATTGGGGGAGAGGGCTCCTTGAATGTGGGTCTCCCTGAAATTGGAGGAGAGGTCTCCCTGAAATTGGAGGAGAGGGCTCCTTGAATGTGGGTATCCCTGAAATTGGAGGAGAGGTCTCCCTGAAATTGGGGGAGAGGGCTCCTTGAATGTGGGTCTCCCTGAAAATGGGAGAGGTCTCCTTGATTACCTTATATATTAAGAGAAAAATGAACGGTGATGGAATCAATAATTATATCAATAAAAAATGCTATGATTGTTGTCACTTCAAAAAAGAAAATATGGAATTGTATAAATTGAGTTTACCTAATGAAATAGTGAATAATATTATTAATTATTCAATGGCTGGTGAAGAAGACATATGTAAAAATTGTAAAACTTGGAGAGATAATCAATTTTTAATCAAATGTCTGTTGGGAATAAAAAGAATACATAATAGAAATGTAGAAGATGATATTTTAATATTTCTAACTGTAAATAAAATACCACCTTACGATTGTGTTAAACAGTTTCTTAAAATCAGTAAGAAAAAATATGACACGATTTACGATATATTATGGATGTTGGGTTATAGTCAAGAGAAAGGAGAAGATGTTAAAGAAAATATCAAATTATTTATTGAAAGTAAAAAGTTTAATGTTCAGAATACAGTGAGAGATGTTAATATTATTTTTAAAATGATGTATGAAAGAAGTAAGACAAACCAATTAGATTATTATCCTGAACTGAAATTATAATCATAATATAATAATAACATGTAAAATCTTATATGTTATAATTATACTGAACTTTTAACCTATAACACCCCCTTAAACTTATCTAAAGAAATAACCCCTTAAACATATAGAGACCAATGACAGACAAAAAACAATGTTCCAAATGTAAAGTCTTTCAATTGTTAGGAAAGTTCAACGAAGGAAGAAAACAGTGTAATGTATGCTTGGAGAGCAAACGGCGGTATAGAGAAGCACACAAAGAACAAATACAGCAAAAGTCAAAGGAGTATTACGAAAACAACAAAGAACAAATAGCAGATAAGAATAAGACATATAGAGAGAATAACAAAGACGCTATACTAGAAAAGAAAAAGAATTATCGTGAAAACCATAAAGACGAAATAAAACAAAAAGCAAAAGACTATAGAGAGAAGAACAAAGAAGACATAAATGAAAAACAGAAAGACTATAACCAATTGAAAGTAGAATGTCCTTTATGTAAATGTATGGTAGGAAAATACAAAATGAAAAAACACCAACAAACAAGTAAGCACCAACTAAGAGTGAAAGGTCAAGAAAACAATAACGATACTGTGAGAGATTACATGGAAACAACAAGTGACTTTGAACAAGAATAGGAATACACAAATGAACCACCAACACCCCAGAACTTAATAACTACTAAAAGGGCTAACTCTTTCAAATGAAAAAAATGTCGGCCCCCAGAAAATCCACCCCTAACACCCTACAACAAAATATAGGATGAAATCAAACAAGGGTGTTAAAACGTTGGATAACAACATTTGACCCAATAACCCCAACACTCCTCCCTCTTCCCCTCAGGCCCCCCCTTTTCTCCATTTTTTCCCCCCCCCCCGGCGCCCATTCAGCGCCTTTCAAAAGCTCGATGCTCTGCCGCCACATCCCCGTCTTCTCGCAGGCGGCCAACGCTGAGTTGTGCTGAATGAGGTTTTGGCCTGGCCGACTGTCGATTGGGTTAGTCTCTGAAGCCCGAAACAGGTCAGCCTTAACACCAACAACCCCCCATTTCGGGCGAATGGTCCTCCCCTTCACTGTCTACTAGTTGGTGGCGTGGGGTAAGGTGTTTTCAGGTTGAAATGTTCAAGCTCCAAAGAGCAACCCAAGTCACCCTTCAAACTAAGTGGCGCTTGATGCTTGCCATTCATCAAATCAGATTCCTTCCAACCAAACCCCTCTGGTACTGCAAGTCGTTTTGGCCTTCCAAACAGCTTCCACCGCCCACCATGCAAAGACCCACACTCCGGATACTTCATGAAATGCCCGTCTGTTGAGTGAACCTGGAACCCCCAAACCCGCCACCTCCGTAACCGTCCTGACTGGGGCCGGGCCCATTTTCCGACAACCCGGCTCCAAATGACCTGGGACAGGCTCATACTGACTCACTCAGTGTCACTCAGTACTCAAAGGGGTTGGCTTCCATGCTGGCTTTCAGGCATGTGCCAACAAAAGAAAACAAGGCCTCCCAGTTTTGAACCACAGTTTGCCCCCGCCAGCATAATTGGGGAGCGTGTCCGCCAAAAGTGATCCGGATCTCCTTGCAAAACGGGTTGCACCCCCATGAAAAATGCCATCATCGGCCAAGTGCTTGCTGCTGTTCAGTGACCCAATAAGAAAAGGACAGGAACCAATTTGGGAACGCCCATATAGCGGCGAAAGCATCAAAGGGTGGGACACAACTGGACGCTGATCTTCCGACATTCATCAAGCAAGAGCTTTGAAAAGTGATCTGGATCTGGATCCCTTCATTTCAGAAATTGGACAACCCCCCCCCAATCAGGAAACCCTGTGAATTGGTGGTGCTTGGCAGGGATCCTTACATTATACACTGAACATTGCCTTGTAACTGGCGGTTTCCCTGTATTTCGGTGGAAAAAGCAATGCTTCAAATGGGCAAAATGTATCTTTTATGGAGCCCTGCTTGGTTTGGCTTGAACCGCTCCCGCAGATCGGCGCATTGGCCTTGACACAGGGCGTGCGCCCAAGCGCTGCAACGCTGGAAGGCCACAGAGACCTCGTTCCACGAGACCTCGTCCTCAGCTGGCTTTGGATAGCACCTTGGTTGCTCCCCGCAAAAAGTTTAACTTTTTGCGGGTTGAGTGGAAACCCCAACTTGATTTCCCAAAAGTTAACGTCTAAAGATCCAACCCAATAGCAGTCAAGGCACATGTTTCAAACGGATCGATTTGTAGAGCCACAGCAAAGGTTTGAGTGAGCTTTTCTGAGGCTACTTGTACCCTTAGGGTGGCTGTTTAACGGATTTCAGAGACTGCCCAGTTCATTTGTGGGGTTTCCAAATTTGAGACAATCCACATTGAATCCATTTGCGAGATCTCTCAAACAAGACCCTCTATGGCAGGCACTCCAGAAACAAGGAGAGCAAAGGATAAGGTGTTGGTTCGGCCCATCCGGCATCAACGTGCTGGCGGGTTCGAACGCGCCACACTCCAAGGCCATGCAACATCGGTTGAATGGGAAAACAAAAGAACTAAATACCAAAAGCAACTGTGAAATCCGGTGCCGGAAGCCCCACAACTCACACTGAGGCTCGCTTCGCAAGCGGAGTTGCTGCGCCTTGTCCAGCAGTAGAATGGCCATCTGCCATTTCTCCTAACTGGATGAACATGTTCATCCACGTATGGGCAAACGTTCGCAAGTCCCCCGTCCGCCCCACAGTTGCCAGTCCCTTCTCCCCTCCCCCCCCCCCCCCGTGGTTGGGGTGTGGTTGGCTGAACGTTGGTCGCCATGTTCGCCTCCCCAAAGCCCAATCACCTCATCGACTCCGCCCGTTTTGCTGAAACTTGCCTCCTGGCAGCCGCTCATGGCAGCATTGTAGACGTCCTCAGGTCAGCGATGGATCCGTGTTTCTGGCTGCATTTATTTATTCGACCTGGAGATCAAAATCGCACCAGCACCAACAAAGGCGCCTTTCTTCTTTAAGAACAAAAACAACTTTTTGGGCCAATCACGTCTCGACTCCAAATCTCACTCGGTTACAGGTCCGAAGGTCCACGTCCGCTCCGGTCACCATGTTCAGCAATTCCAAGGTCCAGGGCCACACAAAGCCCTCACAGGCATCGACACAAGAGCTGCAAGTGATGCGATCCATGCGCAGGTCCCAGCGAGCCAACTGCCTCAGGGCAGTTGGAACTTGGCACCTTCCAACCGGTTTCCAAAGCTGCGCGCTTCCTGTGTTGGACATGTATTGACCCGTCGTTTCGCCCTTTTTAGGGAAGGGTGGTCGACTTGGCAAGTCATCCACACTAGTTGCGGGGGCGCAGGTGTTGTACGAAGCGGCTCGCACTTGGGGCGCCATTCCTTGTGTCTCAACCGACGGCCTGAGCAGGTCCAAGCAGTGTACCCAGCTAGCGGTGCTCGTGAGGGAGTTGAAGCTGAAAAGGTCGGGGAGAAGAGAAAGTGTGCATTGTCTGGACATCCACGCGGATGCCTGAGACCAAGCAGCTCTCTCATGCACTGACTGCAGGATGTTGAAACTCCTGAGAAACGTCCCCACCTTTAAGGCAAGCAAACAAAAGCTTCTCTAAGTCCATTTCCCAAGTCTTCCTACAAAGCGGCCAGTGCCACAAATTCCCGTGCAGCGTGTTTTGTTCGGAAGGAGGGGGGGTCTCGGGCTCTCTCCTGAGCGTTGCTTCCACACGGGCGCTGCCCATTGCAGTCAGCAAGGAGCTTGCTTTTCTCCACTCGCAGCTGCTCATGGCCGCATTGCACGCTATCCTTGGTGATTGGAAAGCGGAGACCCGTTTTGTAGTTTTGGTCGGTGAAGGGCGGCCTTTTTCTCAAGTTGCCTTTAGCCAGGTGAAGGATGAAGCAGTCAGATAGGTTGTGTACTGCGCTTTGTCTTACGAATCGAGTTGGCATGGACGACCTGCATGGAGCCTGCGCTTCTTGAAACACACTCCGACAAAGGGTGCTTCTACAACCATAGGTCTCACAGCAGGCCGCAGGAGAAAAGCTGCCACTCAGCAACCGAGCATCACATTCGATTCCGACTGCAGATTGGCACAGCCCTGCTCCCAAATGGCGCCCGAGATGCTCGCAGTGACCACATCGGCTTCCAAGTGCACATCGCGAAGCTCGCGGAACAGGCGAAGGGATCCTTGCCGGAGTGTCTATTGCCGCGAGCCGAGTTCCGCATACCGAGCTTGAAAGGAAACGGGAGTTGCCAGTTGCCGGGTTGGGGACATCAGGTTTGGCAGCTTTCTGTGATAATACCAGAACAATTAGAGAACCCAGACATTTGTCCAATCCAAAGAACCCTCCTGGCCATGGGCTGGAGCTGATGGCTGTGTTGAAGGAGACCAGGTCCGGCTGGAAACCTTTTCGCGATGCAAAGCATGCGCACCCCAAGCAACTTGGCTGGCACAAGCAAACATACATTACATTACACGTACACCCGCATGTGCAAATAAACTCCTGAGTGGTTGAAAGCTGTTGACCGTGGAACACAACAGGGCAACACAAAAAGGAGAGCCGAGGTCATTCAGGCGGCTTTGGCGCCGCAAAGCTGACATGCACGACATGCTCTGCTGCCAGCTCTCGCATGCGCTGATCGCCGAGTTAATGGAGATGACGGTCGCCTTCAGAAACGTCTTGCCAAGATCTTCCAGCAGGCACACTGCAGTCTGCCATCCTCAGGCTTGGTCATGTCCTTGTTTGATTCACGAGTGCCATCCAACCAACCAAACAACCTTCTTTTGTGTTCCTTTCATGGCCTGGGTGTGGTCATTTGAACCAATTTGTGTCCTGGCCATCCTTGGCACGCGCTGACAGCTGCATTGTAGCTGACCACGCTTCCTTGAAGGCCAGTGCTTCTCATGCCAGCAAACACCTGAGATGCAAGTTCAAGCAGCCAGCCTATGCTCAATCCATGCTGGCTGTCAATACGGACCTGAAACAAAAGCAGATATCCATGCTCCTTAGCTTCCTTTTCGAGTAGTTGTTATAGAATATAGGCTATGTAGGGCCTGCTTTGCTGCACATGCACTTGTGCCCAAAATTGTCCGTCTGATCAGTTTTGGCTCACCATTCTTCAACCAGGGCACTAAAGATAATCCAACAAATGCAAGTGAGGCACAAGGAAACAATGCAATTTGCCGTGGATCGTGGCTTGCTTGCTTGCACTACACAAATTTGAGGAATCAATCGTAGCAGCTGACATCCGCAAGGGTATCGACTCCTATTGAGAAAAGGCTTGCAAGACAACGTCTTTCCTGTTGGCTTCGCGAATCTTCGCGAGAAAGCAATGGAGCCAAGCCAAGGGATGCCCAATATTTTGCTGGACAGGCTGACACCCCCATGTGAGACAAGTGCTTTGATGCTGAAACTTTGCAACGTTTGCATACATGTACACAATACACACTTACACGCACACACCCCCGCATGCTCACAAGCACACACACACACAACTCACACACACACACGCGCCCACACAACGCAAACACTCACGTACCTGCCCTCATGCATCCGTATACACCTACATTGCTGTGCGCAGCTCTTTGTGTTTGTTCACTGGGCATCATTCGACCACCCAACCAGTTTTTTTCCGCCAACCTCTCCGGGCTACTCCAAGGGCTGCTCGCCAGCTTTTGCTTTTCCCGCAGGCGCTGAGCAGAGTGTTGCAAAGCACAGCATCGCAGCGCAGCGTCAAAGTCTTGGCCAGCGCAAACAACTCCAAGGCCAGGCTCCAGCTGCTCGGGTCCTTAGTGGTTGCTCCACATCTTTATTCACTCTTACTAGTGGACGGGGCAGGGTTCGAAATATAAGTGGCTGAATAGAGGCACATGAGCGGTGTTCTAAACCCAGTTTCGACCGAAAATAAATATCATTTCGCGCAGCTTTTCGCGGCATGAAACGTTCGTGTCGCTTTCGCGGATTGAGAAATGGTTTGGTTTTGCCTTTGTGTCTGCAGGAAGCTACAGTTTCTTCTCTTCGGTAAGCGGACAAGCATGGGCCGATTGAAACTTGATTGGGCGAAACAAGGGGAAGAGGCTCGGCATTTGCATGCGCCCTTTTCGCGGAGCTTTCGCGGAATTCGGGCTGTGCTATTCAGTTCTTGGCCAGATTTTTGTCTCGTGTAAAAAACACAGCTTTGCAAGCGGGCATCCCAAACTGTTGTCACATCCCTGCCTCCTCATTTGACACACGTATTTGTTCGCGAGTTGTCAATTTTGTCACCTGCAGTTGCACCATGCCAAACCAGCCTGTCTGAGCCCTACTTGCGTCACGCATGCAAACAAAAGCGTCAACATGTGGCCCTTTCACGAACTTTTTTCGGGCACCTAATACGCTTACATGATAAATCCCTTTTGCGAACCTTTCGCGGCGTAGGAAAGCAAATGTTTTGAACACGATATTTCCTCCCGAATACTAATGAAGAGGTCATAATATGCCAGCGTAGCAGAAGTACAGAGTAGGCACAAGGAGAAGTTGCCCATAGCTCAAGTTCACGCACACGTGTGTGGATTCTATTAGGGGACCCTTTGGTGCACATTGAGTGGGTGGAAATTCATGTCCAGCAACAGCCTTGAGGTGGTTCTCTGGTAAACTTCATAGCCAAATCATGCTCACAGAAACTCTGGCGGGCAGGACTTCGCCAATCGTTGAGGCCTTCACCGTGCGATCCCAAATGTCCTGAGGGCCACCACCACATGCCAGAAAACAAAACTGGGGTTCCTTTAAACTTTGAGCTCTCCACCAAAAGGAGACTCACATAAACAACCCCAAAGGATATCAAAAAAAACACTCAGAGAGGGACATCTAGCCACAGATCGCAGGCAATGACCAGGCAGCCAAGCCTCGAAGCACGCGGCTAAGGCACCAAGCAGCACAACGTTGGGTGTCCCCCTCGCTGCCTGAAAGCCCTGGAAGAGAAACCTCGGAGCTGTCTCATGGATCCGATCCATCCGACCGGACATGAACATGCTTCGGGTGTGTGTGCCAGCCCTACGCTGCAGCAAGTTTCAACCACTAATCGCTGTTGGCATGATTCAATTCTGTCTTCCGAGACCTCCAATGCATTGTGCCTCATCCGGGCCACCGCGCGCCCCCCCCCCCCCCTTCAATTTCATAAACCATCATAACCATCTGGCTCAAGCTGAGCGGCAATGCCTCCTGCCATGCGCTCCCTTTGCGGCACGCCTTGAGGCCTCGGCTGCATCGGAAGGCGCCGTCCATAGCCGCATCGCCAGCGCCTGCGAGCCCAGCGCCATGGCGCAGCACGGGGTGTGCAACGGTGACAGCGACTATCTGCTGGTGGCTTTGGGAAATGAACCGCTGCCAATGAACAGCCAGCCGCGCGCGCGCGCGACGTGCAGCTTCAAAAGTGAGACTGGCTGCGTGATGCGAGGCAAGTTACCCGGTCATGGTATGGAGCAAAGCACCTGGGGAGCTGGGGTAAAATCTTGAAGGCAAATGCCACGTTAGGTAAACAACTGTCCCCCCCCCCCCATACATAATCCTCCTTTCTCCTCACACAGGAACTGCATACGGGGAAGGCAAGCTGTGCCACGCGCCGCAAAAACTGCTGATACTCGCAAATGGCCAATATTGGCGATGACAGTCGCCTTTGGGTATGTCCCTGGTTTGGGGGCAAGGATTCTCCCAGTCACCGGCGAGTTCCGATTTTGTTCTCGCAGGCCCTGCAGCGCCAAAACGTCCACTGCGGTGAGCAGCCGCAGCGGGTTCCCAAATTCAGCCACCGAGGCGTAGGTGACCACATCTGCCTCGATCGCATCCTGGCGAAAGCCCAATTCAAAGGGCAGGATTGCGTTTGCCTTTCAGGGACCCCGTGTTTCGCAAAATGAACCCCTAGAAGTGACTTCCCAGGTTGACACCATACATATCTGGCACGTTTCGAAGACCAGGACTGCGCCAGAAATCCATGCACACAAAGACCCATGTCAATTTGCATTTTTGACCCGTCCTGCTGCAGTTGCCCAAAGAGGTCCCAAGCTTCTTGCCAGCGCTGGCACGCCATGCTGGCGCATAAGGCCTGGGGGATTCTGGCGGGAGCAAAAGCGACAAACTAGTGAATCCTTGCTGGGTATACTAACGGGCCAGCAGATAGAAGTTTTTTAGAGTAAATGAAATTGCACATTTCAAAAGTGTAAAACCACATACAGTTAGAATAAATCCAACCAGACCACATAGCATATTGCGAAACAAATAGAGTATTTCAAAACGAGGGTCTCTGTTATGAACAACTAATCTGTAAATGTCCTAGCTGCTAGCCCGTTGCTATATATTTCTATATGCGGCTTTCAGGAAACCATGTGGGTCCCAGGATTTTCCATTTGGGTCCGTCTTTCTTTCAAAGGTATATGCAAAACCAAACGGAAACCAACCGTTTTGAGGGGTCCCCCAAAGAAAGACACACGCATTTGCCCAAACGGAATGCATGGCGTCTCCCTTTTCGGAGCTCAAAAGCTCAGCCCGACGGGGCCCATGTATTTTAACTGTTCGTATACCGCAAATTCTCCAGTTGAGAAGGTTGACTCTGCTTTCTGTTGGCGAGGCTGTTGCAAGACTCCCCCAAACGATACCCAAGTACATTTTCTCTTCATTTTTCTCTTTCCTTGACCCCATGCATCTGCGCGGCTCGATGCCATCAAACCTTTCGACACCATCAATTGGTCAATCTGTGTGAAATTGCCTTGTGACCCAGCCAGTTGATTCAATAAAATTCACAGAGCCAGAGGGATTGAAGGAACCCTTGAAGTGCACAACATCAACCATGTGACCCTTGCTGAAATATTCTATCTGTCAAAGCATATTCTATCTGCTGGCCACCTGAAACGGTGCTCAAATTTCAAATATTTGCGCATATGTGAATTGTTCTAAGTGTCACATGTGCTCCGAACATGTACTACATATTCTAACTGAGTTATCGGAGTAAAATATATTCTAACTTAGGAGCCGACGGAGGAAATTCGATTCTATCTGCTAGCCCGAGACTATAGTTGTGTTTGCCGCTGCTTGTCCGTGTTGGGGCTGTCTGAACAGCAATCTGAAGCCCCCCCCCCATCATTGTGGGTGAATTTGGAAAAACACAATAAGCTTTCGCGCCCTGTTGGCCAAGTGGCTGCGTTGTATGTGATCACGTTGGGCCGTACCTTCACAAAGCGATGGAGCCGCATGCCTAACACTGACTTTTCCTCGCCCTGCATATCCCTGCATCCTTCATTTTTCGTGTGGGAAGTCGAGAAACACGGACAAAGGGAGTGTCTGGCAACGGCACCCGTCAACTTCCCAAACTGGAAGTGCATGTGCACCGACGCTCGCCACCACTGTAAAGTCTGATTCTGCGGCTTCATGCAGTTCGTACCAAAGACCATCCACAAGGAATGAGAAGTGGAATGACCGCCAAAAAAACACATGCAACTGGTGGTTTCCCTTGAGTGACTCCCCAAAACCGGTTCATTCAACACCCGGACTCGTTGTCATCCCTTCCTATCGCAGCAAGCAGCCAATGGCGGCTGTCGATTCCAAGCCCCTGCCTTCAAGCTGCGCAGGCGCTGGAGGAGAAGCATCGCTGGGCGCCACTGGCTGCCCTTGGCCTCACTTGGCCGGTCAAAAGCCCGTACCCAGTGAACATCCCATATCCCAATCCCTAAAGTAGACTAAACCGGGTGGTGCACCTACCCCAAAATGGTACCGTTGGTTTTGACCCACAGCCACTTTGCTAGGCACGTGCATCCCAGACATGGAACACCGAAAGGAGCATCCTGGTTCGGAGGAATCCCCCAAGGGGGGGGGACACCCGTTTGAGGTTCCATTCAAACTTAAATTCCCATGTTGGTTTCAATGAGTTCCACCTCGCCCGCCAATCCACGAATCGAGGACGATCTGACCTCTCATTCATTTGTGGGAGTAGAGCAGGCGCAGGAAGTAGAACCATGAAAGAAGAGAAACAACCGGTGCAACAACATGCAACAACTTGAACAATGACGACAATAAGCAAAGAGGTGGGAACTCCTTGAAAGTAAGTTTCTGACTGTCGGCCGTCTAGCTTGAGAGATTTATAGTTGTATGTATGCATCATACATGCATCTACCCATGAATGCATATATGTAGATCTCATATATATATATACACAGCAAACACGCAAATGATATTCATAAAATAAATAAATAAATAAATAAATAACAATTTAAATAACTAAATAAATAACTAAATACATAAGTATATGCATTAAACACACGCATAATAATTTAATGAATACATATATATATATAAACAAATAAATCCAAACGTAAATATACATTAGTAAATACATTGATCCATGAATACCATGTACATACACTATTACAAAGGCATTGGGAAATGAACATGCGTAAAAGAGTTATGGACGCTCATAGGTAAGACGGCTTGGCGTCAATGGCGTCAACGGCCCTTCGGCCCTTCGGCATCGGGTGGCCATGGCGGAGATGGCCGTGGAAAAGCTTACGACGTCCGGCTGCAAGGCCTCGTCCTCGGGCTCGGATCGCCGGAACGGAACCGGGGAGCCGGGGAGCCGGTTCCCAAGACTCACCTTCCACTGGGAAAAAAAATAAGATATGTCCAGTAGTGATAGATTCCCTTTAAAACCAGCAAGGGAAAACAAACATGTTCTTAACCAAATGGATGTCACGGAAATGGAAAGAGAGTCCGTTTAAAAGATGAGGTTAGTCTTTCAAAGCCCTCCTGTGCACTCGCATGATTGATTCAAAGAGGGCAACTTCAAAAACGACACACCCAGATCTTTGCGGATGAGCCGTTTGATCTCATCATGAGGACATGGATCCCCAAAATTGCTCGTTTCCCTTTGGCAACCCGCAACGAGAAGCCAACAATCTGACCATTCGTGAACATGCCAATGATTGCCTGGCTTGCCCCACTTCCACCCTGCGGGTTGAAACGTGTTGTGATTTTCGAACGCCTCAGAATGGTCACATACCGTGTAAGTGTTCCCTTTTGTTCCCTTAGTTGCAAGCTTCATCAAAGCAATAAAGGCTTCTAATTAGTCACGTTTGTTGCATTCATTTAGTAGTATCATTTGGCATGGTTAAAGTCAAACATACATAATTTAACAAATCCTATAGTGCGTGTGTGTGAAAGAATGGTCAGGGGGTAAAGTTTTGGGCCCATTGACAATGGCCTTTCCCAGCAGTGGGCAGCCGGGTGAACTTGTTCTTGGGAAAAGCTGCAAGCACAACTCTTGTCTCCTTCTGGTTACTTGCAATGACATCTTGCCGCCTAGGACCCCGGCATACCTCAGAGCATGCTGCAATTCGCAAAACAAAATACTGACATCTCAGGCCGGCCACCAAAAGGGGTGCAGATCGAGACTCCATGTCTGCGAGCAGTGCCAAAGCCTGGCGCCATCGCTGGCACTTCTCGCATGCGCTGATCGCCGCATTGCAAGCCACTAGGCTTGGCCTGGCAGAATGTTGAGCCGTCAATCAACCGAATCTACAAACCTCACGATCAATCAGTGGTGGCATGGTCCTTGATCCCGATTGATCCTGCATGCAGAAGACCTCATGCTGGCTGTAACGGGCACGGAAACTGACCTGACATCAAATCCTCTTGCCATCACATATCAAAGACCCTCACGGTACCTGTCCGGTATCTTCTTCCGGCTTTTGATACAGAGCTGATCAGCTCCGGGAAAATCTGTCGACATTCGAATGTGTCCAACGAAAACATCGCTCAACAGGGTACCCTCGTGGGCACCGCTTCGCACATGTCAAGATTCTAGGGGTACAGCCTTCCCCCACAGCACCAAACACCTTTCTTCGGTTGCTAAACATATGTTGGTTGGTGAAGAAACGCTGGCGGACAGTGCGCTCCTTCTGATGCACTATTCCATTCAACGCACTTACTTGCGTGTCGCCTTCAAAAGGTCACCCAACAGGAACACCCCGTATTAATCACAGGTACACAGCGGCTCATGGTTGGTCGACTTGCAACATGGGTGTGTCTTAACATCCACGGACCCACAGAGGTAGTGGTTTTGGCTGTCCTTTCCCGCTACCCCAAACAAGGGCCAAAAGGCCCACATACGCAACTGAAAGCAACAGCAGCCTGGTGGCCCCTCCGTGGCATCCCTTTGCTTTTTACCTGAAGCCGCCAGCCAATACCCATGCCAGGCCTCCACTGGTGGAGCAAAACCAGGGCCAGCTGCCACTGAAGGGTCTTTTCCTAGGACACAAATGGCCAGGATTGCCTCACAAGGGCTTGCGTTGAAACATCTTTTTTGGTACCTTCAATCGAAGACACAGGCCAGCAGTGAGGTCTCTTAGACCCCCGCCACCAAATGAGACTCTTGACCCCCCGTCCCAACCCAAACATTATGAATGCGGGCTTTCATGCGTGTGAGTGCTGATTTGACAAACCTCAAGCCTCAAGCGTCGTTGTGCAAAGAAATGCACTGGTCTTACCAAAAAGCGAGCGCGGCTGGGCGTCGGAAGTCAGAACTAGAAGCGAGCCAGTGGATCTGGAGCGGCTGGGGGTGTTCCAAAAGTAGGTGCCTCCGTTTTCGTCGTTTCTACCAGTGCATTATCCCGAATCCCGAGCAATGTTGACGTTTTGCAACAAAGGACGCCAAAAGCAAGCCGACAAAAACAGGAAGGGTTGGTAAAATCAGTGCAAGCAGCCAAACCCTGACCGCAGCAAAGGGCAACCGACTGGTTCTTTCAACGAAGGGTACTGAAACACGACGCAGGGCTTTGCCCAGCAAGCATGTGTTGGTACGGGCGCCGGACGCAAACAAGGAGAGTCTGGAGAAGTAACAACATCACCCCTTGCAAGTATCCCAGCTCTAGTTCCGAGATTCCTTGTGGAACAGCCGTCCTGTCAGGGGAAATATCATTGGAATGCGGCGGTTGGGGCATTTTGAAACCAAAGGTATCATGATTCGAGGGCTCGACCCCGGCCAATATCTCGACTCCTTGCCCCCCCCCCCCCCATCCGTCTGAAGGGGCCCAGTGTCGCAGGCGCTGATGGCCGCGCTGAAGGGCACCGAGCTCGGGGAAATCGAGGAGCCCAGCAGCAGCTGCCTGAGATCATGCGACGACTGCCACATAAACAACGCACGGAGGGCCTCACCAAGGGAGCCTTTTCCGGGTCACCCACGGAGATCCAAACAAACACGAGGATCAATTTGGCTTCGGGTGAGAAAACACATCTCCAAATGGCACGGGAGTTTGAAAGGCAAAGACACAAGCAGATACGGGTTGGTTTTCCAAATAGTTCCCCTAAAGCAAGCCCAAACAAAAAAGCAAATCCACATGCTGCGCCCCACAAAAACGGGACCATTCACGATGGCTTTCCGCCAAAGGCCCCGTACACGTCCTGCCTCTGTGTGGTTGCGAGTTGGTTTGTCCAGGAGCTGTGAGGCTCCCGCTGGATCAAGCACGTGGTCCGAAAAATGGCTTCCTTCTGGAGCCGGTAGTATGGTGAAGGCCACTAGCCACAGAACATCCCCAGATCAAAGCTACCAATCCCACAGTCACGTCGTCAAACCGACAAGCTTGTCGTTCCCAATGAATCTACTGGTCAGTATTTGATTTGACGAGCAGCCAGAACTGAAAGAAACTACTTGTTATTCAAAACTTCACGGACCAACATCTCACTGGTCACTTCGCCTGGTAGAACTGGCGCTGCTCTGAGGCAAATCAGCCGCTAAGGAAATGAAGCACGCAGGCTCACTGGCTCGCACATTGCACAACTGTAAAAACGATCCACAATGATTAAACACATGCAAATATCGAACAACACACAGACGACATATAATGAATGTTGGCCGGTGTCAACAAATTTGGGCTAACACATAATACCATATATATGTATTAAAAAAAAAAGAAACACTCAGCAGAACTCAACCAAAGGAAATACTCACCATGCGGAAGAGTTTGCAAACTCTTGGCCAGCTCTCAGCTCTCGTTGGTTGCTAATGATGGCCTCTTCTTGCCAAACTCCACCAACATTAGTCAGGAGGCGTCTGATTGAAGAACACATCCCCATTGAACAGGAACCCCCCAAATAAGAAGCTCGGGGGGAGGGTTATGAGTGTTGATGCGCTCCGGGAGCAAACTGCCCCAAGGGCAACTGAACCAGGGAGCAGGACATGGCAGGCAGCTTGCCACTGCCGAGCTTTCTCGCAGCAGCCTGGTGGCAAAGCTTGCCCGAAAACAAGCCAGTGGCGCTCTCTCTTGCCACCGAGATCAGTCCTTTCCTTGTTGGTGCTCAGGAGGGAATGACCCTGGGTGCTGGGAATGAATGGGGACGCCGGTAAAGCTCTTCAGGCGTTCATTTCAGGGTAGCGAAGTTCTTGTCCAGTCTCAGGAAGCTAGAGTGATGACGCCAGCTTCCCTCAAACATGCAAACTACCATTTCGGGTCCAACAGGCAAAACGTCTATCAAAACGGAGCACGGTTAGTTAGTTTCAATGTTTGATATGGGAGGAATCGCTTTCTCATCTTTGCTCACTACTGCACAAAGTATGGCGGGAAAAGACCTCCAATCTAAGGGCCTCGACTGTGGATGAGCTCATTTCACACCTGGCTGCATTAAATTTGCAAAAGTATTCAGCCACCTGCTCCGCTTGCCTGCGTGTGAAACTTAGGTGGCCTGGAGGTTGAATTTCCCCGATGCCTGGGCAAATTGAATGCCCAGTTACGTGATGATCCAAGCAGCTTATCACAGTGCTGTAGGTGACGATGTCTGACTCCACCCTTTCTTGCTGATGCTCATCCAGAAGCAGCAATGCTACTTGCCACTGACCGCTTGGCTCGCAAGCACTGATGCCCTTGGCTGGACACCCGAACCAAACAAAGAAGCACTGCCTTCCCACCCGATGCTGAGTTTGAGTAGAGCCCGGCTTAACATGCCAAGAGGAACGCAACCACCCCAAACAAGGGAAGCCTAGTCATGTCAAAACACAATGCCAAGCAAACAAATCCTAAAAATGACGAGTTGCTGCATTCCAGCTGATGACTGTGGGTTGCAGCTTCTTCCTGAGGGTCTTCAAAAGACTAAGCGCACGCTGCCACTGGCTCCCACGGCCACAGGCGCTGATAGAGGCATTGTAAGTGATCACCTGTCACAGTTGACCACCTGGGAACCTCTTTCCACCTGATCCTTGTGGTGAGTACTGCGTATCTAGTCTCACGCTTTGCATTGAAAGATCCTTTGCCCCAGACCAAATCGTACATTTTTTCTGGAACCCTAAGCCCACCATAGCCCACCCCAAACCCTAAAATGCAACCTAGGTTCGTATGAGCCCTCAATTCTGGTTTGGTGTTCAAAGGAAAGCAAGCTCGAAGCTGCCCGGTAAACAACACTTCCCACCTGCAATGCATAGCGCAAGATATGAGCAACACTGGTTTCCCGAATGCTTGGCAGTGAGAAATCCCATAAGCAAAGGCAGGCAGCCGGAACAAGCAACAGTGCACAGGCAGTGCAATTGCGATTTCGCTTCCGAGCTGAAACTGTCTCTGCTCTGAGCGCAGACTTCAAATATGCTGGATCAAAGCAGCTGAAGTAAGCTAAGCCACGTCTGTCTTGACCTCGGCCTCCTGAACAATGCATCGCGCGTCCGCGCGCGTCCAACAACTCTGCACCACGGAAAATCTGGGCAGAGTTACCTGGCTACAACCCCCCCCCAAGTTGAGGATCTTTGCCTAGGCCTTTCCTGCTAGGTCTCGCAGGGCTCCTGAAACATCAAAGGTGTTCCCAAACGCGGTTTTGGGCACCATCTTCCGCAAGCAATATGCCCGAGAGCTTCTTTTGGGGGGTGGAGGGCCAGGAGAAAACACCCGCCCCTTTTGGTTTAGTTTCCCGGGCTTTCTTTCGGTATGAGCAAGTTGGCACCCAAATCTGAAAACTGCGACAGCTCCTGTTTCTCCGGGGGGCAGCTTATCACATTGGCCACAGCACAAATTGTCCGCTGAGTGAACCGTCTCAAGTCTTATGCCTTAGCTAAATTTCAGAACTCGTAAACGTACAATTCTCAAAAACGCGCGAGGTGGCGCGTACGGGGTGTTTTTGAAGCAACGAGCGCGTGGACGGACGAGTGGACGAGTAGACGGACGAGTGCACGGACGAGTAGACGGACGAGTGCACGGACGAGTGGACGGACGAGTGGGCGGATGGACGGATGGACGGACGGACGGACGGACGGACGCACACACGTGCGCGTGGCGCGCACGCACGCACGCACGCACGCGCGCACGCACGCACGCACGCGCGCACGCACGCGCGCACGCACCCTTCGCGCGCGTCCGTGCGTGCGTCCGTCCGTGCGTCCGTCTACTCGCGCGTGCGCTCGCACACTCGTACGTTCACCCGCTCGCTCGCCCGCGCGTTTCCCTCGCGCGCCACTTGCCCAGGTTTTCTGGAAAATGCCATTAACGACCTCTCGAATACAGCTAACTTATGCCCAAATCTATCCAAGGCAAAAGTCATTCCTAGGTTGAACAAGGGTCGCATGTCCCACCCCGCAACATCCAGTGCAGCAACCGGCGTGTGTCAAAATGAGGGAACCTCAACCAAAAAATATCTGATGCTTTCTGTTGGTTTTGCTTTCAACCGGCCCAAGAGGGGTACACGCCTAAGGACACACTCGCAGTCCTGGTGCTGCAAGACCTGCAGGGCCGCCTGCCAGGCCGCCTCCTCCTCGCAGGCGGAGATCGCCTGGGAGTAGGTCACCGTGTCCGCCAGCGACTTTGCGCGGCAGAGGTTCAGCAGGGCCAAGGCCATTGGCCACTGCCCGCAGAGATCACACACCTCAGATCTGAAAGAAGGCTCGAGCAACGCAGCAACCCGCTACCGGAGGTTGGGGGTTGGGCGGGCACAAGCCGGAGAAGGCTCGAGCCAAGTGGAGATTGAGCGACCCGCTTCTGGGGGTGCGGGGCTGGCAAAACGGATTAATTAAAATGCTCGCAGAAACGTGGAGAGGTTGGCGGGGGGCGTCAAAAGAAGGCAACAGGTCCAAGGCACGGAGATGAGTGCATTGAAGGCAACGGTGCTCTCCTTGGCCGGAAATTGACACTGGGTGCATCCCCGCCCTTGAATGGGTGCCTGCTACTGTTGAGACGCATGTCTTTCATGTCCATGTCCTTGTGGCTTTATTGAGCCAAAGGGGGAGGCAAATCGATCGACTTTTACTCTTGCCACAACAGGACACCACCATCTGCAGACTGCCAAAGTATGGAGCAAACCAAGCAACATGCTTCATGAAGAGTTCCGGGCAAAACATACACACAAGTGACTGCAAAGCAGAACTAAAGCAGATGCCAATTCGAAGGGATTTCAACATGACAAGCCTATAGGTGGGCCCAATGCCAATTGGTGCTAGAATGAGCGGAGACAACAAGAAGTCTGCAGCATGAAGCCAGTTGCAACTCACGCTTTCTTGGCATTGGCAGCTCGCCAAACAGCCAAGAAGCTCCCTAGCCGATCAGCAAAAAGCGCTAGGAAATTGAAGCGGTGTCCTGCTGCGAGCTTCGATTCTTGCCAATCTCAACTAAGTCTGGATATGACCCTGCAGATCAGGGCTGGTTTAACCTGTAACCCGGTGCATCCGAAGCAACATCCCCCAAAAACATCGTTTGCCAGGTGTCTGGCACGCGGCGCATGCTCAGCTTCCCGCAAAGAGCCAACGCACTTCGCCACGAGGGCGTCGGCGTAGTTCGACCCATTGCGGCAGCGGCAGTGGCGCAAGTAAAAGTGTCAGCCAACGGCAACTCTGCGAGGTACACCGCCAAAGCCTTCGGATTGAAGGGAATTCACACGACACGAACCAAAACAATATCCCACCAATCATCGATACAAACAGCCCAAAGGGTGTTGTATGCAAAGGCGTTCTTGCGTTGCCCTTGACCCCTTGAGCTACGGACACGCAAGAAAAGAAGCGCTAAAAAGAACTCCAAGCAATGCCCAAAAGTGTGCTAAGAGCTCAGTTGAAAGGCCCAGGAGGAAACTTTGCACGCATTCATCACCGAGTTCCGCGAGATGGTGTCCAGCTCCAAGCCGGAAGAGGCGGCAGCTGCAAAGGTGAGCACTGCGCTCTCCCAGTTGCCTCCAGTGCGCCAAAGGCAAAGCTCAAAGGCAAAGCTCAGGCGTCAAGCTGCCAGCGCTGCTATTGCATATTTACCAGTCATGACCAGTCTTTATCTTGGTTAAATTGCATGTGACAATCGAACATATGCAACCCACGTGGCCTACTTTTCGAAGTAAAGTGGGGCCAACCTTTTGACACATTCCCATCGAACTCCCGGGAGACGCTATGAGGTGGCCATGGTCCCCTCAAGAGGAACTCTTGCCAGTGCATATGATCTGCCAAAAGATAATTACGCAATCAAGCAACCTTCAAACAAGAATCCTTCATCCTGTAGAAGGGTTGCTCACAGCCACAACTTCCAAGAATTGGACTTTGAGACAAAATGGGCTTGGCTCCTTCATCCCCTCCGTGCGGGCGCATGGCTTTTGTTGCCCGTGCATGCTTCTTAAGCCCTGCCTGTGCATGCAAGAATCGTATTGCAACTTGTAGTGCTCTCCTGTAGGCCTTTCTCTCGCAGACAGCCCTGCAAGGACAGCGCGCGCTGCCAGCGAGCTGCGTGCATCAGGGAGTTGTAAGAGATGGTGTCCAGTCGCACGCCTGCAACAATTCAGAAGAAGTGGCGCAAGTCTGCAATGCATGCGAGCCAAGCTTGCATGCAAGATCAAAGGGCATGGCTTTCTGAGAGGTACATATCTCCTGAGGTGGGAGGTACACATGCCTCGAGCAGTTGCAGTTTAAATGACTCATGGTGATGTGCGTGCGCGTGTCAAGAATTGGCGAGCCTCCCACTCGAGCCAAATCGATTGCACGCTGCCAGCAGCACTTGCAAGCGCTGAGGGCAGTGTTGTAGGCAATCGTGCTGGGCTGTACCTCTTCTTCCTGGAGAGCCTTAATTAGTCTCTGCTGGTGACTGCTTCGGACTGCGGAAAGCATCTTGTCAAACTTGCCTGGCTTCACACTACTTCCGCCCTGGTCCTCTCCCGACTCAAAAAGTCAAAAGCAATACTAAAATGAGCCGTTCAACATGAACCTGCAGTATTTCACTTCAGCCTTCCAATTGTGGTTGCCCCTTGTTGCTCACAGGGGTCACTGCAAGCACTAGGCTCGGACGACACCATGCCATGTTTAGCCCAAGGGCCAACAACATGGCGAGGACTGGCCGCCATTGGGACGCCCGCTCGCAGCAGGATAGGCAGGCGCCGGCGGTGATGATGTTCCTGACGCGCGGATGCCCGAGCGGGCAAAATACCAATGTCATGTTCGCGTGTTCTCCTAAAACCAGGGACCCCTGATGGACGGTTGAACTTTTTGATGGAATCCCAGAGGAATTGATCAGTTTCCGGGTACATGAAGAGAGACAAAACGAAGGTGTTTGCATGCGATCCTGCTCACGTGTAAACTGGTCGAACAGCACATGTCATACAGCTGAGTTTAAGAGTCGTGATTTTGGAACGGCTGCCAGGGGCTAAACCAAGTTTCAATGAGGGCCCCAGCTTTCTGAAGAGCTTGATCGGTACAAAAACCATCACAGTGGACACCCAGATTACGAACTCGCCCGTGAATACTCATGGCTGGCTCTCTATTTCCATATCAGTCTCCCTAACTAGAATCAGCACAGTTCAACTCATGATCTCTCAATATGGCTTACGCAGGCAGCAACAAGACCCTGAAAAAATGATGAGTAGAGGGTCGTGGGCATAGATGGAATACACTGGCTTCAGTCTCACATTTTCCTTGTCGTGAATGCCGCGAGCTGTGAGTTGCGTACGGAGCTTTGAGCCATGCATGGCATGTTGTCCAACCAAGGTGGTTGCTTCGAACTTGGACCGTTGTTGGCCAGGCTACTTTGGAGTGGCAAAAAAACAGCGGCGGACTCTAAAGCCTCCATTTGCTTAAGGCCCCCGGGAAAAATAAAACAACATATCCATTTCAGCAAATGCAAGAAAAGAACAAGGTGCTCAGCGAGGGAATGACCCCTCTCAACCATTTCCTGCGGTCATTCCCTACTTAGTACCAGCAAGAAAGCACAGGCGACTCTAAGAGTCGCATGTCCCCCCCCCATTTGGCCACAGAGGCGCTGCTGCAACAAGGCCTGTGGCATCTCTTGTAGCAGGTGCCGGGCGTTCTTCCAGCGGCTGGCACTGATGCACATGCCTTGGATGCGATCGTTCGGTCTGAAGTCTCTATTATTGACCCCCGATCCGTGCTTTTGGGATACTGTAGGGGTCATGCAGGTTTCCGGTTTGGGGTTCATCCGCAGGTGGCAACGGGAATCGACTCATTCTTCGGGAGATTGCTCTGACTTTTGCCATGAACCCGAAGTAGAGATTAGTGCACTGGCCAAACATGGTTCAGTGCTCTGGCCTCGAAATTGAAAGAGGGGGGGCAACCTGGTCCTGTTACGAAGTGCACAGGCTCAGAAGAAAGGCTTCGCTTAGCCCTCTGAAGGGTATGTCTGAGTTGGGGGCGCCGGCTTTCTATACGGAAGAGGACACCTAATGTTGGCCCCGGATTCATGAATCCCAGGTTATTAATAGGGGAGGCTCCCTGGGATTTTCTGGGTTTAGTGGGGATTCGTTCTCACTTTTGGAGGGGACCCCAAAATTAATAAACTGGGGTTGATTAAAATCGGGTCAACATTACCATTTCTGGGGTCTTCACACTTTGGGACAAGCCCAATAGCAAATCTTTCAGACAGCCTGAAGCATCGCAAGAGGGCGCGAAGCCTAGGCGAGACAAGCCTTGTAGATTATAGATCAAGAAGCACATGCGCGGGAGGTGTCACAATATCTGTAGAACCCCTTCACCCACAGAAACTCCTTGCTAAGGACTCGCAGCCCCATGCCCCAATGTTCTGGAGACAGCGCCCATTTGAGCCCACTGTGCTGAAGCTCACGCCACTCAGCTCCACATGGCGGCTGGCCATGTCTTCCAAGAGCCGTGCCTTGATCCGCCATTCGGATCCGGGTCCTCCGGGTTTGCCGGGTCCGGATCCGGGCCCTCGGCCCCTTTTGCTCAAGAACATCCATATTCAAGCTGGGCTTGAGCCGAATGTGCTACGCCGGAGTTCGGATGAGGCAAGAAGGTGTGCGCACGCGGGTACGTGCCGCAACAAAAAATAAGCCGCCGCGAGCGGTCAAGGGTTTGAACGCACTTTAGCTCTCGCAAAGCAAAAAGGCAGGACTTCGGGTGGACAGGCTGGCAGCGTTCCGCAAGCTCCGCAAGCTCCGCAAGTTCTGGCTGCAGCTTCGAGTAGTTCAGCTTCACCAAATGCGGCAGGCGCTTGCCTGCCGCTGAAGCTCGTCATCACGCGAACTGAGGAACTGCGGAACTGGGATTCGTCGTTCTGGGATGTTGTTCAGCTTGCCTCAGCTGTCCAGGCGCTTCAAAGTCCTAGTCCGATTTCGCCAGGTACACCAAGGAGTGCCAGCCTTGATGCTGAACGTGGCTCAGCATGGACGCCAGCGAGTGCCATCTGCTGCCATCAGCACATGCACGCAACACCTCCCCATAGGTGGCGACGTCCACAGGCACCTGCCGAGAGAGAGCGTGCGCCATCAAGTCCAAGACCTCGGCAGGCCATGGTGACCCAAAAGGCAAGGGAGCCAGTGCTTGCTGCTAAAATGGGGAACCCACCCAAAGGTGCTGGAGACTGAACGAAGCAACTTGCTCGGATTGCTCCATAAAACTGGAGAAATATTCAGAGGTTGACAATGAACAAATAAAAAAGCTACTCGAAGCTGCGCAAGGCACACAATGAAACCAACTAAGCAAAGTCAACGAGCGACGAGCTCAACAACCGAGGACCAATCACCGTGAACATCGGCCATTCTACCTTGAAGAAAGCAGAAAGGCCGCAATCGCCAGCGAAATTGGGGTGTTGGCCATTGCATTACAGGCATGGAGGGCTGCAATTCAGAAGCACTCAGTCAAGACACTGGCTGCCACTGCCCTTGCCAGAGGCAAGCAAGAGTTGCAGAGTTGTAAGCAATGTGAGTTGCGTGCATGGCAAGCTCCGGCCCGCCAAGAAGCCAACACGCGCACCTGGCAGACTGGCAAACGCCAAGCGCTCTCGTCACTGAGGCAGAGTGCCATACATGACTGGAAAATCGCGGAGAACAGGATTTGCACACATTCATTAAAAAGCAGGGGTTTGCCTCAAAGTATGCAAACAAAATGGGGTACCGTCAAACAAAGATCCTCACACATGACCACACTGTGTGGTTTGGGGACACATGACGGGCTTGCTTTGGGTGCCGCACTCACTTCTAGGACAAGCCCGCATTCCGCGCTCGAACTGGCTTTTCGCTTCTCTTCAAATCAAGCCCCCCCCCCAGCATTTTGGGACTCTCCTTTCAACATAAACCAACCTCCCCCCTCCGGAGGAATTTCAGGACCGCCAAAATGAATCAACCTCCCCCCCAACCTCCCCTGAAATTCTAGCACCTCCCTTCAAAATAAATCTGAGACTCTTCTTTCAGGATCAGCCAAACAGGGAGTTGTTGCCAATTTCCTCCATTTCCTTAAGTTCACAGGAAAACATCTTCCAAGAATTCCAGTAGTGCAATAGATGCTTAAGACCAACAGACTGGCCGAACACGAATGCTTCCTGGCATGGGACTTTGGCACCCATTTCCTGGTGTCCAATCATGATATCCCACTAAAATTGGAAATGGACAATTCTTGCAGCTGACCTGGCTTTGCACCAGTGAGCACCAACAGGGGAACATTTGTGTTTAAGAACTTAACTTGGTTGCTCTTGACCCCCTTGCAAAAAGTTTCACTTTTGGGGGCTTAGTGGAAAGCACCATTATTTCCAAAAAAGTTAAAGTCTAAAGATCCAACCCAATAGCAGTCCAGTTCAGATGGAAGAGTTCAGGACGGCTTTGCCGGGTGGCCGCCAGTGAGCGCGAGCAGCAGCGATGCCAGAGCTCACAGACAGCACGTCGGCTACCCGCCGCTTTCGCGCGTGGCCCAGCCTCGGCGTCTTAGGAACCGGCTGGTTGCTGCTGACCCCTCTGCAACTCGGCAAAAGCTTAGCTTTTTGTGGACTCAATGGAAAACCCACTGTTTCCCCTAAAAAGTTGAAGTCTAAGCAACCAATAGCAATCAAGCCATGTAAGGTTTTGTTCGTCTTCCAAGTGTTTCCCGAGTTGTTGTTTTGCTTTTCCGTTGAGGGGCGGCCAACATGTTTGAAGCTATCCTCAGGAACCTGCCAGAAGCCGCAAAGGGAAGGCCCCCGCCCCCATGTCAAAGGGAGGCTCTCAGGATACCCTCAAACAAAACAACGCAACTGCGCAAGATGTTCTCCGAAGAGGAAGCAGTCTTGCACAAGAGCCATGTGCACTTCCATGTTTGTTGGTCCGCTGAAGCGCCGGGCGCTGCACTTCTTCCCCGGCTGATGAGGTGGCGGTACTGCAAACAACTAAACGGAGCATCTGCCAAGGAGGAACACTTTTCACACTTGAGTAATTCCCAACGTAACCCATTTCTATGGATTCTCAAGTGTGATTGCTCCTCAGGGCAGTAGCCTTGAATTCGAGGAGCTTACCCATGATGCTTCCGCTATGCTGCATGATGCTGTGCCCAATTCAGGTTTTCTTGGTCTTCTTGTAGATTTCGGTCATTCCGCCGCACCGCGCATTGCTCGACAGGACGCACCAGTACAATAGTTGATAAACTGGTGACCCCTGTTGAAGACCCCTTCAAACCACAGCAGCACATCATGCTACCAGGTCGCGAGGGTCCCTGTTTCTGCAAACTGACTTGCGGGTTCCTGCGACCTTGTGCCGAATGCCGGGCGACAACGACATGGCACGCCACCAGCCCAGGCTCTTCTCACAAGCAGATATTGCTGCGTTGCCTCAGGTACGCGTTGGCAGCTTACGTACCACTACTATGGAACATGCTGCGTGCGGCCAACAACATCACCGCTTCTTAGACTTGGTCACGCAACCCTCCCAACAAACGAACAATCCCCCCCACCCACACAAGTTCGGGATGTCAATTGGGATGTCCATAATGGAAACTTGTCAATTTCAAGAAGCAAGACAAACCAAGAGCTACGTTACGGAACACTGAAGAGGCAGCGAGTCAAAAATCAATGGCCATGCATTCAAACTGGAACATACATATATCTGAGTAGCCCCTCAAATCAAAGCGCAAGGCCACAGCTAGTGTAAAGCATTGAGCGCTAGCTCTTCAACACATGTGACACATGCGGCAAACAACCAGGACTGCCAAGGTGACGACAGTATCATACAGCATCTCCTACTTTTTGTCAAGCACAGTTGAAGGAATTCACGCAAAGACCCATTCCTCACCAGAAACCGACCCACCTGCCAAATCAACAGGCTACTGAAAGCCGATATCCTGGCACATGGTAAGAGACATGTTACGTGTTGCCAGGCATATTCCGCTAGGATGCATGTCGTCGTGAGCGGCTCAAGCACCAAGCTGTGCAAGTGCAATGCCTGCTGCCAGCGCCGGCGCTTCTCACCTGCACTGCACGAGCGCGTGGGGCCGTCTGAGCTCCAACCCCAGCCCTAAACCCCAAATCCGAAGCCAAAGCTCCGCACTTGAACTCTGAAACCAAAGCTCTCAGCCATGGACCCGCCGCAATCCCAGCCCGCTGGTCGTACTCCAAGCCAAAGTAAAGCTGAAGATCAGAAATTCACGGTGCACACCCGAACCGCTGCATTCCAAAAGTAATTCATGTCTATGTGGCTCACCAAAAGCCGGTGAGCCCAAAAAAGAACCGGAAAAGGTGGCCGAAAAATGAGCCCATTGAGGTTTGCTTTGCGTATTCTTGTGAGGGGCCCTGCTTGCCGGTGGTATTTTGCAGTGGCCTGCATGTATCTTTTGGAAGGCAGCCGCGGGGTGAACAGGACACCAGCAAGAAACCATTCATGGGCCTCGCCTATCTCAAGACAAACCCACTTTCGGAGCCACTAATAAATCTTTAGACTTTAGACGGATCCCTCGCCTATGTCCGGCCTGAATCGACGAGGTGTTTGTTTCCTTCCCGTATTCCTGTCAAAACCAAACGCGAGCATATAAGTTTGCCAACTACGAGCATTTTGGCGGCCCTCTCTGCCCATGCGCAGCAACTCACATGGAACCTGACTGGCTCGCAAGCGGCTCCTTCTTCAAAAAGTAACCCCGAAGAAAGTGAAGAGTCGGGCCAAAATGCCACCGGGACCGACTGACCGCGGCGATTAAGCCTCACATGAGCCAGGCAACAGGCACTGAGCGCTGCGTTGCATGTTACCACATCTGCAGATACTGAAGGATGCCAGCAAAGCCACAATGCGGAATGCCATCGCTCGCTCTTCTCGCCTCATCGCGTCCAACAGCCCCTGGGGAGAAAATCAGTGGCTGCCACCGGCACAGTGTCCTACATTTAGCCCGTGTACTCGCCAAAACTGCCTACATGGGATTTCCTGGGCAGAACCAGGCAAATCGCCCCATTTCCCATTTCAGAGACCGCTTAGTGAGCTATGCAGTTTCCTGTTGCGTTTTGCTTGCTTGCATGTTGACATCTTGCGCACCCCTTCCCTGCGACCTGCCTGACTCAAGTCTCGGGTTTGGGTGTCGCCAAGCGGCACGCACTGACTGCGCTATTGAAACCCACCACGTCTGCCTGAAAGGAGCCAAGGATGTTCAAAGCCCCCTGCCACTGGCTGGACTTCTCCTCAGCTGACGTGCCATCTTCAAAACTAACCTCCAAGTGGCAGGGCGACCAGTCGGATCCAAGATGAACAATAATCTATGTAAACTTAAGGAGGGGGTCTAGGCTTGAAATCCATTCATTGGTGACGTCCCTTCATGCCCCAAACTCCAGTCACAAGAACCTTTGCCCAAAAGTATCCTCAATCAGAGATCCAGCCAAGGTTTCCTTTGACCAGGGTGGTTTTGGTTCATTGCTGCATTGCTGACCCGTGCCCCACAGATCAGGAACCAATTCGTTGGTCTCGCGCAGGGCTGGTTGAACTCGTTTTGGCCAAGTGTTGGAAGTCTCAAGCAGAATTTGAACATGTCAGGTTCGAGACCGCTCAGTGAATAGGACAGCGCTGGCGTCTTATGCCCAAGGAGGGCAACGGCCATAAGTCCTCTCAGGGCAACCGTGCCTCCCATTTTTGCGGGGGAAAAGTCTTTCTGTTCGTGTCCCTCAGCTATTTGGCAAGCTGTGCCTTGAACAAGCCTCAACGTGCGTGCTTAGACATCGCCTTCCAGCCCTTGCTCATACCACATGTACACGTTCATATACATTGGCATTTAATTGTATGAGTTTGTATGTTTGTGCGTAGGTCAATGCTTACAGTTTTGGATCCTGCCCGCACTCGCCCAAAATGCTGAAAGCGGTGTCACCAACAAAAGAGGGCCTACCACTCATGGCAACACCGCCAAAAGGAAAACAAGACATTGTGTTGAGCAAATGCAAGTCTTTGCTTCGAGTTGCACATGCATTGACCAGCGCGTTGCATGCCACGGTGTTCGGCTGGACCCGCGAGCAGGACGGGTGCGCAAGGAGGGTTTGGGCTCGCTTCCACAGACCGTCTTGAGCACATGTGTCGACGGTCGCACCCAAGGATATGGCGCTGGCCTGGGTCGCGAAGCGCGGTGCCCAACATGCTGCCGGCTTTGGCTTCCCTTTGAGAAAATGTACATTATGGGCTATTGTGTCTAGATATGCTCAGGAGCCCGTCAAATTAGCAACGCCCCTCAGATAGCAAGCAAACGTCGCTAAGCACGTGCAAGCAAGCCTGATTCCCTGCAATTGTCCAAATACTAGATTCTTGTGGTGTGTCAAGCGGGCCGGTCCAAATCATTGGTTGCCCTACGGTTTCCCTCGAAAAGAAGCATAAAGGCAACTGCTAGAAGACACAAATATATGGCTAGGCCGCATGCACCTCTGCCGAGCGCTCAACCACAAAACTCAAATGCATTTGATCTGTCAGATTTGTGCACAGATAGGCGGAGCTGCATTGCACGCTGCACCAAGGTGGCGTTTGCACCATCAAAAGAAGGAATGTAGGCCTACGTACAGAAGGTCAAATTCGCTTGCCAGTGAAAGCAATACTCCTTTCATACCCTGAGAAACTTGTCGGGCTTGCGGCCCAGCTCTAACAACCCTAAGCTCCCAAGGCTCTGGTCGCAAATTCCTTATGGCTCCCCCATTGCATCTTGGCCTCCCCATGGTCCCTATCCCAAATTTCCCAGATTCCCCATGGCCTCCCCAAGTTTCCCAGATTCCTCGTGGCTTTCCCAGATTCCTCTGCTTTTACTATGGCTTCCCCCGGCTCCTTATGCGCTTACGGTCCCTATGGCTCCCCCACGGAGCCCCTGTCAGGCCCCGCCTCGCAGGCCACCGTGGCCAGCCGGCTCAGCAGCTCCAGCGCCCGGCGCCAGCGCGCCGCCGCGATGGCGGCGCCGAAGCCCACGGCGTCCCACGGCGCCAGCGCCAAGCGCCATCCGCCTACAGGCTTTGACCCAACGGGGGATTCCGGCGCGCGGAGTTTTCTATACGGGAAAAAAAAACAAAAAAACAACGCAGAAATGATAGATTTCTATGGAGAGAGTTTTCGCATATACATATACACACAAATGTAAATAAATCTATATATATATATATATACATATAGCCAGTGTGTTCACCTCCTAGTTTGTGGGCCTAACAAGCAGGTTTGGAGTCGAAAAAGCAGGGCCCACGAATCGCGTCATGTCTAAAGAATCACAGGTCAAGAAGCACCTAAGTACGTAGGCCAAAAAGGACAACAAAAACAACCAAATATCGGAAGTTGCTAGGCCGCGCATATGTCAACGACAATCTTCACCCTTAAAAAGGAACAGTACCCAAGAAGCTAAAAATCAAACACACTATGCCACAACAGCGCGAACAAAAGGTCAGTGTGTGGATCTGCTAGTCGCTTCAATCATCTGGGCAAATTACGATAATTCAAACCCCTAAAAACATGGGAATTTCATGCAAGACTCCATGAGCAGTCTTGCACAATTGAAACCAGCTCCATCTAGTTTCAGGGGCTATGGAAAACATCAACCTCACCCTCTCGAGTTTCAAGAAGATCCCAGAAAGGTGTCCTTTAAGGGAATCTCCAAAACCGGGTTCCTCCCCAAAACCCAGAAACCCGGAACCGGTTCGTCCGCCAGGGCGCCTTTGGAGGTGAGGGTGTTGCTGGTGACGTGGCTTGGGCTCAAGGCCTTCTGAGCCGCTTGCTGCCAGTACCTCGCCGCCAGCTCCCAGCTGCCCGACTTCGCCACGGAGTTGTAGCTGATGATGTCCAATTCCAACCTGGAAGCAAGCAGTTGTCATTGAAGGTTGGTAAAGCAATGCTGACATGACCAACCCTTGGGAAACCCGCGAGTCACCCAGTTTTATGGCAGAGAGAAGTCGCCGAAACAAATGAGAGGATTTGGGCCCATGAACCTAGATGTCACCGGCGTTATGCTGGAAAACGAACACAATGGCCGCAAATGAAAAGGGGTCCACATGAGACCAGCGCAAATCCGTCCAGGCCTTGAAAGGATACATATCCCGATTCATCATGTTGCCGCTTGAATCTCTAGGAAGTCTAAGCAGGTTTCGTCCACACCTCTGAGCAGCCGTCGCTGGCTTTTCCCGCAAACCCCTGTTCATGTTGGTTGAAACTAAACATACAAGAAAGGCGCTCAAGGCCCAATTGCCCATCAACCCCCAGGAAGCTTTCCACCTTGTTATGAAGGTCCGACTAACAACAAACATGGCCTTATTTTCCCTCCAATCTTCGGCCTTCTCCAAACCATACTAAGAAGTGAAAAGCCAACATGCTTCCTGCCAAAGCGACCAATGCCAAACAAATACTACACTACTTTGAACCCATTGTGCACTTCCTGATCATGAACCTTGGTTAGGCCTGGAGGGGGCATTGTTTGGACAAGGACCGAAGCACTTCTTCAATGCGTTGGTGTTTTCTTATTACCCTCCCACCGACTAACATGGAAGTGCACAGACCCCTGTAGAAAGACGATGTTCCGCTTGGAAGGGGGCTTTGTGCACTTCCATGTTAGTTGGTGGGAGGGTAGGGGACAAGGCTGCGGCTATGGACTGCCACCAGGTCACATGGGCACGTCACGGCCATGAAAGCAACAACTCTAAAGGAACAAACCCCATCGATCCCCAATATGCATCTTGGAAATCAAATGAATACGAGGCAGCATGTGCGTAACCCAAACCTTGCTGATCCTCTCTGGCTATACCTTCGTGGTTTCAGCTGGTTTGCTTGTTGGGAGCCCTGGCCCGGACACACCCATTCCAGGCCACCCATTCATCGTGGAAGCATTGGATGACTTAGATTGTGGTTCAATGTGCGGTGTCCACAATCAGCACCCCCAACCAAGGAAAAGGCAGGAAGGGTCATCCAAAGGGTCCCCTTCTAACGTGTCATAATGAGCCATGGTGAGTCAAATCCCCCTCCCAGAAGGTGGAGCATGTGAGGTCATGTTGCGCTTAGGCCCAACCCCATTCTCTTCCCTCATCTTTCTCCAGAACTTCTTCATTTTCATGGTTTTTGCCTGTCTGCAGAAGAATGCCGGAATGGGGAGGTGTCGTCAGGTTGCTGGGCCGGCAGGTGTTGGGTCCTGTGCCCCTCTGCCTGCAGCTTGCAATGACTGCAAAGAGCGCAAGGCCCTGGAGCCAGCGCAGCTCAAGCGCGCGGCCCAAGAGACTGTTGTAGGTCTGGAGGTTTCCCTTGGGGCAGCAAGGGCGCTGAGATTCTTGGACCGACTGAGCATGACTTAGTTGATCAGCTGGGAAAAAAAAGGACAATGCAATGGAGGAGACCCAAAAAACAGAGGGGAAAGCGGCTTGTTAATTCTGGTAAACGGCTTCTGTTGTCTAGCCAAAGCCAGTCCCTCCCAGCAACCGAACAATCTTCTTGGTTGCCTAAAAACAGCTGTAAGTCCAGCCTGTTCAAGCAAAAGTGTGCCTCGCATCAAACATCCTGCGGTGCAGGGCGCACAACCCCTTGCCTCCAAACCAGGCGACAGGCGACAGGTGCCCAAACAGTACCCTCAACATGCTACGTATATAGGGCTGGTGGAAAAGGTGACTGTTTTAACGGCGAAGATGTCTCCTTCAAGAAGGTATGCGTGTGAGCAACTCAGATTTCACGCCTCCAAAGCTCGAGCTGTGAGCAGCTCAAGCAGCCCGCAGGCCCTCTGCCAGTCACTGCTGATGGCCGCCGTGCAAGAAATCACCTGGGCGCCAGGACCGAGAACGTCCAGAGGCTGGTTCCTTGGAATAGGGGTCTCGTAACATGTTGCACAAAGGGTAAAACATGACTTAAACAGGTTGGGTGGGGGGGGAGTGGGGGGTGGTTGCACAGTTTGGAGCTCGGTTCTATTGCCCCCTATTGGGCTCTCTCCCTCTCTGTCTTTTCCGGTCTCTTTTCTGTATCTTTCTCTCTCTCTCTCTCTCTCTATCTCTCTCTCTCTCCCCTCCCCCTCTCTCTCTCTCTCTCGCTCTCTCTCTCTCTCTATCTCTCTCTTTTTCTCTCTTCCTTTATTTTTGCTTTTCTCTCTGACAATCTTCCAACCCTTGTATACCTCCATATTTTCACCCAGTTGTTTGGAGGGTCAACCCGCCGAAAGTTCGCAAAAGGCTCATACTTTCATAGTTGCACAAGCTTACGTGGGTAATGTGGGAAGCTTCTTGCCAAAAGGATGCAAATCAAACCAATGCAAACCAACGCCAATCAGCTCAAACTAACGCGAACAAGAACACAGCCTCTTCAGTTCGTTGAATACTGCAAGACTGAACGCTGTCACCGTTTGCAAACCAAACTTAGTTAGCAGCCACCCCTAATTGCAAAAATAACCCCCTTTTTGCAAAACCTATGATCTACTGCAATCCCTCACTGGTTCGGGCATACCATTCACACATATATTCTGTCCATAAACTGCCATAAACCCTGTCCGCCCCGCACCAAGCTCAGCAAATAGCCGTAGTCATGCGTTGGATTTGCCCTATAGGCTGCAAATCGGCATTGTAGCGCTGCAAGTTCTTGCCACGAAAAAACCCAAAAAACAAGACCGGAGCCTTGAAAGGGCTCCTTCCCCAAGCCCGCGGAGGGCTGAGACGAGCGAGGGTTCACCGATGGAAGGCTGCGAAACAGCGCGGCCTAAGTCGCGTCGATGTTCCCAGACCGCCTCCTTCAGGCGTCGAACGAGGCGGTTGCGCAAATACAGGGCATGTTTCCCGCCCGCTTCCACTCCCCAGTTCCTGCCGTACTCATGTTTTTTGTTCAGCCGTTTGTGCTTCCATTCTGACAAACAACGTGTATTCTCAGGTATTCTCAAGCCTCCGTCGTTCTCTAGTCAGACCCACCAAAGAGCGGTCAAAAGCCGGTCCGTCGGGTCCAGGAAGCAGTGAAATTGAAACCCCTAAGTGGAAGAGACCAGAAACCACATTCATGGGTGCATCGCGAATTTTGGGGCCACGCCTTCTGGCTTTGTTCAAATGACCTGCCAAAAATAGCACGGCCGGTTGGGGGGCCCCAGCCATATCAAACAAACGCTCCGGCCAAGGCGCGTCCAGTTGAAGTGTCCTGGCGCTTGCTTCAAACAACAGCAGGGACGCAGTTGGCCAGCTGTCGCATGCATTGATCGCCGTGTTGTAGGTCACAGTGTCTGATTGTAGGAAAACCTGTGACGCTTCCTGCGCGTGTAGCACCGGTCCACTCCACTCCCATTGCCCTTATCATCCGAGCCCCTTAGCTCCGTAGGCTGATTCCCCCAAAAGGAAGCATGTGTGGGCAAGGGGTCCTGCAAACAAACACGTCACACATGACTTGGGGGGCACGGACGATCTTGCTCACTCGTTGCTTATTGACACTGGCAGAGACATTGAACTTTTGGGCGCGCTTCACCCGCAAAAACCGTAAAATTGCTGGGGCAGACTGACTTAGACCACCTGCCAAAAGTCAACTTTTTGTGTGACCCCAAAATTGGTTCCAACACGTTCCAACAAATTGGCTCTAACAAATGGGTTCCAGGATCCATTGGTTCAAGCCGGAACTCGTTTCTTCGAACCCATCAAACGGGCTTCTTGACCGGAAGTCCAAACCTGGACCCTTGGAAACGGCCTGCAGCAGGACCAGCGCACGGCGCCAAGTGGCAAACCGTAGCTGCGAGTTCAGAGTGATGCGGTCCCGCAGCTGCAAAGCGGCACACCACCCCGGGGAGGAGGCCTTGAAATGAGGATGGCCCGATTTGCAGGGCCTTGGGTTTGTCCAAGAAGGTGCCCGCCCGCCAACATGGTTTGGTGCATGAACCCCTTTTGGAAGGCGACTGTCCTCTTGGTGAGGGGAGTCTGTCCACGTTGCTAGCCCCCGTACAGAAATAACTGCAAAGGGGATAATATCTTGCGCAACCCGAACTTGAGAAAGGCAAACCCAAAGCTTGCTTGCAAGAAAAGCTCGCCTTTCGTGGATGGCGGTGGTTCCTCGAACGAAGCAATGTTGCCCTGCCTTACACAAGTCCTTGTCGCATGTGCCCAACAACGCGCCAGCCCTAATTGTCCATCATGCTCAATCGGGAAGGGCATGCGAAAGCGCCGGTGCACATTCAAAGAGCCGCAATGGAGGCTCTCAACAGCGGCAAACTGTATCACCTTGCTTTCTGGCATACCATGCTTGAGAGTTGTTTTGGACCTCAAAGACTGAGCATGGCTCAGTGCCATGCTCAGAACGCGTTACAAGTAAGCAAACACATTCTCCGAAGTCAGGTTTGAGGCGACTGGAGTTATCCAATGTCGGCCACCTACAGGTCTTGCAGCTCCGACAAATAACCTTCTGCCCCCATTTTTCGATCAAACTCCCAACCCAAACCGTTTTCCGAGGGACCATGGTGTTGTGGGTGATGATGTCACCAGGCACTGCGTTGCTGCAGGCATTTTCCAGCAACCAGCCGGCCTTGCTCCATTGCCGGTATTTCACGCAGGCCTGAGATGAGCAATAGGCATGCATCAAATTCCTTGGCCAAATTATAGGTCTCTCCTAGCCGAGGGACATTCAGGGCAGCGTTGAGGATGATGGTATTGCTGCGAAGCCCTTCATTCCTTGGCGTGGCAAAAGAAGAAGGCTGGCTTTGTGGGTTCAGGGGCCAAAAAAACACTCCCAGGTTTTCTTGCTGGTGTTCAGCAGAATGAGAAATGGAATCGCCCCTATTACTATAAACCATCCTTATTTATCCTTATAGGTTCCTAGGGAATCCCCAAAACCAGTCCGTTCCCAAATTCCCTACTCATCGAACCAGCTCAGCACCCTTTCAAAGAGAATCCGGCATCGGTGCTCTGCGGACCAGGGGTCTTGAGCTGGGACACCAGCCACAAGGCCCTTCTCCAGTCGCCGTGGCAGATCTGCTTGCAGTACCTCAGAGCCAACCGCTCCACCCGGATCCCAAGCACTGCTCTCTGAACTTGGACGTGGGGAACAGGAGTTGTTGCGGGGTGCTGGTTGGGAATGACAAATCAAAGTGCAAAAGTCTTAAACTGTAACTCAGGTACGACTTCAAGGTCGTATCCCGGTACCCACCAGGCTCTTGCATTTCCGGCCTGCATTGGAGCTGAAATTCCTCTCCAGGGAGGCATCTCTCACAGACCAGGTCATGCGTAAGCGGATGGGAACCGAGGATAGCAGAAAGACCCTGGTTGATCTTGATTCGGGGTCCCCTTTCACTAAAAACCGGACTTGGGTTTCATTCAGGCATGGTTTTGTCAATCCGGGGGTCCCATCCAAAACTACTTGCGCCTGCAAAGCGGCTGCTATTGCAGCTTCCGGCAGAGCCAGGGCGCGCATGTTGCAAGCACACGGAGTTCGGCAAAATGCTTGTCTTTCTCATTTGCTTGCACCCAAAAAGGAAGCTGGTTCAACATGCGGTCCACAATTTGTGAAGCCGTCTAGGTGTCCAAAACCGCCGCCACAAGTGTCTCTCTCCCACGCGCGCGCGCGGCCAAGCTTTTGAGCTGCTCTGGGCTGCCTTCTTCGCACTTTACCCATCAAACCTCGTCGGGATGTTCAACCCACCTCAGGTAGCCTAAACTGCGGGAACTGGGCCAGTCCCTAACCATGGTTGCCTACCCCAAACTTGCAGGAGATTACCCTGCCCCATGGGCTTAAGCATCATTGAAGGCTTCATCTACAAGTGTGTTGTCAAAAGCAGGTAAGTCGCCATATGTTCATTCTAATAAATTCGCCAGCATCGAGCAGGCAAAATCATGTAGGCCCCAAACCTTCCCTACTTTCTCGCATTTTCTCGCGATTGGGTCATTTGCGCGCTCTGCCGAATCTCCGGCGGGCCATCTCCGAGTCAAAGCCTCATTCTCCGTTCAAAACGTCCACCTGTCGGAAGCGGATCGGCGCCATGCCATGCGCCATCCGCCGCAAGAGCGCTTCACAGCGGGCGGCCAGCGCCTGCGCCAGGCCGGGCACATGGCGTGAGCAGCTCAGTGCCACGGCGCAGCTGGCCACGTCAGACCTGTGGGGTGGGTGGCCGGCTGGCTGCTGGGTGGCTGGGTGGCTGGGTGGCTGGGTGGCTGGGTGGCTGGGTGGCTGGGTGGCTGGGTGTCCAAACCAAGAGAGGAGATACTCTACAACAACCATGGAAGCTGACAGGAGGTTTTGGAAAACGATGCTTTCCGTTTGGGGAAGCCCCATGTTCACTTCCATGCTGTTGGAGGGAGGGTAAAAAGGTATTTTGAACGCCGACATTCCAAGGCCAATTAACATAAAATTGAATCGCTATGCTGCTACATTGGAAAGTTGATCGCCCACGCAGTCTTTCGACCATCGTTCTTTGCAGAAACCACCCATTGAACAGCGTTCAAACGTTGCTTGAAGACAAGGGCGCAGCCACAAACATGTCATGATTGTGCTTTGTGGGATTCCCATCCCCACTACTTTCCCTGAAGATGACGAATCGAGCTTGGAACCCCAAAAGGGAGTCTTATCCCAAAGCGTTCTGAGATTTAGTGATTGATTCTTGAGCTAGCTCCATGTCCATTCAATTCTGCAGAGGGTATATTACATCTTTCTCTTCAAAGCGTTGGAACCATGAACAAGAACAGAACAAAGGCGCTGGGGGAAGGGCTCAGGAATCCTTTTGGGATCATCGGGCGCGGAAGGGATCCTTGGGGCCAGGCCCATTGTGGGCAACCCGGCCAAACCGCCTCTTCACAAAGTGGAGAAACTGGAGCTCTGGCAAAAGCACCACCAACAAACAAAGGGCCCACTCGCCCCCGCAAGCAAGGTTGGGTAACCTTAGGGGTTCTCAAAAGGGCTCTGCAAACCTTTCGGGCTAGAGGGTCTAAATATGTCTCCTGAACTTTGAGCGTTCATCTGCAAAATGCAACACTGAGCCCATGTACAAAGCTCCCAACCCTGAAGCACAACTTTACATTGGCGCGTTTTCGAGCAAGTGCTTTCGAGTGGTAAACAGTTGAAACAAGTACAGCTCGACAGGTCTGCCCAGACGATGTGGTCCCCGCGGTGTCAAAAGTGACTGCCATGAACCCGACTTGTGTAAATTCCGTAGACAGGGAATATCAACTAAAACGCTGCTATGGCCAAGTTCCCCTTACCATACATCTCTAAGGGTGTGGAGATGGTCATGCGCAAGCTGCGGCTGAGCCACTGAAGTTCCTCGACCCGCAAAGTATGGAGTACGTGGCGCCACTGGTTGGCAGCGCCCAGGGAGCTGACAAAGGAGCCTTGGGGTTTGTGCCAGGAGAGCTACAAGGAGCCCCCGAAAAAGTTTGTCCGGGCCCATTCTTCCTCCCATTCTGCATCCAAGTCTTGAGCGAAACCCGGCTTGTTCAACGGTGTCCTTCAAGAGACTTGGCTATTCTCCTGCAGCATATCGAGGTTAGGCCACTTTGGCGTGGTTCACCACATGCCAAAAGTAAAGGGAAGAAGAGCGCCGCTGAGGATTGGGTCTGGTCGCCTGCTTGCTTGCGGATTCATGGAACCTGAGCAAACATATTGATGGCCCTCGCACGAACTCAGTGACCCCCCTTCACGGCTTCACTTTCTGGAGCAAGAAAACACCCACGAAGAATCGCAATCTATATCATCTTGCGCTTACCACGGCCCCTGCCAAAAGGGTCCATTAAGCCCAAGATGCGAACAACGTCCCAAAAACAGACCGACCAGGTTCTATGAAAGGGGGTGCCGTGGATGGCCGGTGCCGCGGGCCAGGCCAACCTGCCACGTGGTTTTTTGGAGGGCACCCTTTCTGCGGCTGTGCCAAAGGAAAGCCAAAGGGAACCACTCATGCGACGCAGGTACATATTTCGAGCCTAAGGATCGCGCCCAAAGAAGACTCCCCCCATAAACTAGCCTTTCCACAAAAATGATGCTAAGTACATCTGAATGTCCGAACTTCCGAACATAGTAGCATCAAAAGCCGATTTTACAAACCCAACACCAAGGGTGGAGTCAACACACACACACACAACCATTCCAGGAAGCACGCGGGGGAATCATACCAATACGAGTTTTGTTTGCCACATTTGTAGCGGGGGGCACTACAAGCACAAACAAAATTTGGAGGTAAACTAGAAACGCACTGCAGTTCTGAAACTGGCAGCCAGAGGGCGAAGTTTAAAACCATAAGGAGGACAAACATCGGGAACCCAAAACCAAGTCTAGGGACACCATCCTTTTCACGGATCCTCCTTTCCACTAGTGAAACACTTGACTGGTTCAACAAAGAACGATGTTGACCGAAATTTTGGGAGCCACAAAAGCGGATGCTTCACACAACCCAAGGAGAAAGAAAGGGACCCAGTGAACAAACCCAACTTGCGTGCCCCTCTGTGCCAAAATTCCACAAGTTCAACAGGCGGCCTCTTCAAGAGGACTGCAGTCTACCGGAGAAAGCTCGCTTCTTTGAACAGCAGGGATTCTTACCCTATCTACCTGAACATTACAACCGAATGGTGGGTTCTGATTAGCCTGGGATAAGTTTTCTTGAAATTGTCTCGCTGCCAGAAATGGACCGCCCTTCATGTGTGAGGACGGCCCATGTCCTTGGTCGGGCCATGACGGGGGGCACAGTGGCAACATCTTGGACAACAAATCAATATTCAGAATGTTCGAGGATGTTCGGGGTCTGTTTTTGTTTGCTTTTGAGACCCCAAACATGGCCAAGCTGAATCCTCCAGGGAGCCAAGTAAGTTGATTCCGCATTCTTTTCAACCATTGTTCTTTTTAAACACCAGCTGTTTCCCCTGTTGTTTTGATGGTTTTCTGGAAAGAAGGATCCCTAAAAAGAATGGGGAAGTGTCCCGTAGAAGTATTGCTTCAGTCCGGGCCGCTGTAGATCAAGTAATTTGGCTCCACCTCCTGCAGCAGTGCCGCCGTCGCCCGCCATGCCGCACAGCCCGCCATGGCGCTACCTGCGGGAGAAGTAAGCCATGGTTGCAACCAGGTCTATCAGGGAAAGTCCCGGTGCCCCTCGTTCTCACCACTGACTTCGGTTTTTCTCCGAGGACTAGTCACATTAGGGTGTTTACAGTGTGAAAATTGTTGTGCATCCCATTTGCTCTCGGCATTTTGGTTTGCGGGACGTGGAAGGACGATGCTTATTGTAGGGTGGCCAAGAGCTTTGTGGTAGCTAGATTCTCAGGTTGAAAATGAGCTACCCAAGCCGGCTTCGCCAAACATCCTGAACATGTTCACATGGTTTGGAAAAGCGGGATATCCCCAAAGAGAAAACAACAACTAAAACAACAACCACTTACTTAAACAACACATGCAAAGCCTGAAATGTGGACCCTCAAGCGGCATGCCTCATGCATGTAATGCATATGGGTGCGTCTCAAAATGGGGGAACCCCGCCCCCTGCCCAAGACAATTGTTTTGCCAAACAAACCTGTACATTCGAGCTAACACATGTAATTTGTTTAGTTCCAGTCTCTCGAAAGCCCAGAGCTTCCCTGATTGAATCGATACGCCGCGCATGCAGTTGAGCCAAGGCGCAGGTGATGACGCTTGCTTGCATGCCCTGGCCCAGCTCACCCAGCAAGTGCACCCCGAAGCGCCACTGATCCTTCTCACATGCACCGATGAGTGTGTTGTACGTGATGAGGCTGCACGTCAAGTTGCCTGATTTCGACTGAGATCCCAAAAACATAAGTTCAACTTGTGCTCCGCTCTCAGTTGTTATCCCAACTATTCCCAACAAGTTGAAGGGCTAGTTTTTGATCCTGGCAGCCGTGGGGGTGTCGAAGCCTCAAACCATCAGGAAAGTCCATGGGCAGCGTTTTCGAGGGTGCCGGTGAAAGCATCAAGCCTCATACGTAACCCCGGAAACAAGTTGTGCTTGTTTGCTGTTTGCGAGCCTGCGGAAATTCGCAAAAAGTGGAAAAGGTCACTTGCCCAGCGGCAGGTAAAACGGACACACTGTTCTTGCTTATCATTTCAACCAAACAAATTAAGACATACGAGCAATCATCAGGGTCCCTACATGTCCCTTTCACTGTCACCCCTATTCATTTCGAGTCAGCAACCAAAAGGCAATGCTCAAAACCCAACGAGGAAATTGACCCTCCAAATGGACACCACCTCAAAATAGGGGAACATCCTAAATATATATATATATATATGAGGTTTCTGCCCCATAGCCTCTCTTGAAGCCATGAGGCAATTGCCCTCGTGCGACCTGCCAATTCCGCCAGGCTGCGGGCGCTCAGTTGGTTCACCAGAGAGGCAGCCTGCCGCCACTGCTCCTAGCGCGGGTACAAGAAGTGGCAATGTCAAAGCGGTTGCGCGCCAAAGGCTTTGCGGCAACTTGGTCGTGGTATCAAGGGAAAACCAACATGAAACGAATCATGAGGATCCATTCTTCAGAAATGGGGGGATCCCCAAACCTAATGCGTAAACCAGGGACACCACTACTATAAGAGAAACCACGACTATTTGCCATAAGGATTGTGAATTGACTTGAGTGTCCTAGGTCAACAGTTTCACAGTTAGGCCCTGCAATGTTATATATCTATGTAACTTCTAAAACAATTATACACTTAACGGGCATGCTTGCCGAGAGACAAACCGAAAATCGACCCAACAGAGCTCCTAGCCCACACAAAAAATTAGTCCAGACTCTGGCCCATAGACAACCTAAACCCTCGACTCATTGCGGCGACTTCAAAAACTTGGGGGGGGGGGGGGTGGCGGGTCAGCTTCCGGGGTCAGCTTCCGGGGTCGATTTTCTTGCTGGTCCCCATTATAAATGACCCGCGGATGGGAATAAACCATATGAAACGGATGCTGTTTTTCTACTTTGGTCACTCCGTTTGTCATTCCCTCGAGCCAGCCAGTTTTTCCCAACTGGAGGGTTTCCATCTTGGGACCTGAAACCCCGGCGTAGGGATGCGGTCCCTTGGTCCGTTGTTCGTTTGGTCCTTATGGGCGCTCAGCGCCGCGTTCTGCGACACCAAGTTCTGCTCTTCGAGGTCCGCCAAACTTCGGGCTGCCAGGCGCCACTGGCTTTCCAGCTCGCAGGCGCTCAGGGCGGCGTTCTGGGACACCAGCAGCGAGCCGAACCTCGCTGAACCCCTCTTCCCATATGGCAGCTGGTTTTTAGCCTTGGTTGCTATTGACCCCTCTGCCAAAAGTTTAACCTTTTGTGGGTTTAATGGAAACCCTCTTGACTTCCCAAAAAGTTAAAGTCTGAAGATCCAACCCAATAGCAGTCAAGTAATAGGGGGCCACCTCAAAAGTGATGGGACATGAATCCCCTGCATGATGTCCAAAGGGTCCCTGATGAAAATTGCCAACACGCTTGTCAAAGTGCCAGCCGGTCCAATACTGCTGTCTTCCCTGCCAAGTCGAGGGACCCCTTTCGGGTGTCACAACATGAACACCAAACCAGTTGAACCGCGTCCTTTCCAACTGAGGCCGAAGACTATTTTAGGGCCAACTTCAGAATTAAGCAACCCTGAAGCTGACCATACTTCCGGGGGCTCCCACTAAAATTTATCTTGGCACTCTGAGCAACCTAAGGCACTGAGGCGCGCACGGATGCTGACACAGCGCCTTCGTCAGACATCCCAAGGTCCGCTCCCAGCGCGTTCCGCGGCTGGCCACGGTGGCCTCGTTGTGGCCCACCGCGTCCAGCGGAAGGCCCAGGTCTGTAGCCAGGACCATCCGCCAAGAGCCTCCTTGCGACCCTTCCGACACCCCGCTTGCGAGTGACCCGTTCCAAAAAGATCCCTTGTTGGGTGTGCTGGTAGGCCAAGAAAGGGTCGGGGGTGCCACTGAACAAGTGGCACCCGCGATGCAGTCGCAACTGGGAATCAAGGAGAAGGGGAGAGGCGCATGGGAGCATAAGGCATCTCCGTTTAGAGAATGGACTTCCTTTTTTGCGGTCCATCTCACTTCGCAGACGAGATTCAAGGAGTCAAAGGCAGTCGGTTCAATCTTCAAGAGAAACAACTTGCAGCTTGAAGCTCCCAACCAATGTGGTTTGACAATTAGAACATCCCAATCCCTAACGCGAGGGTTGAAAATCCATGACAAAACATGAACAATGTGTTGGATGTAGCTCCGTACACATTCAGAGGAAGGGAATACCAGAAATCACGTCCGACAGTGATCAAGTCCTTGACAAACGCTCATGATGGAATTCTTCAGCGGCACATCGCACTGAAGAAATGCAGCTTGCCTCGAGCTTCGGGAAAACACGCGGCAACGATAGGGACGAATTGTCCAGTAGCTTCGTCCGAAATACCCCTTCGAGCACAGGGTTGCATGCTATATACGTCAAAGGCAATGGCAAAAGGCAAGGAGGGTTCGTGAGCCCCCCTACAATATTTCTCCAACAATGGCTCATGGTTGGAGACGTTGAGAAGGCACCCTCAAGGCAACATCAGTTGAGAAATGCGCGTGCTCACAGCTGAACACAAGCAGCTGGAAACAGGACAGCCGAAAAATTAAAAAGTCCAATTTGATCACCCAAAAAAACAACTTCCAGTCGGGGTCATCGCCCATCCAAAAAGAAGAAAGGGGGGACAGCTGACAGCTGACTGAGGCTCACATATCTCGCTCGCGGATCTAAAATCTGGCCTTGTCGGGTCGCAACCGGTCATAAATTAGAGAGAGAGAGATAGGATACCGTTAGATTAGAGCCGATTAGATAGATGGATACATCGGCCAATAAATACATAACAACATAAACATGTAGACAGTTTAGGGGACAATTAATCAATACAAACAATGAATATACGAATGAGTAAGTACATCAAGGAATCAAGAATTGAACAAAAGCCGATACATCAACCAAACAACAAACAATACAATAAAGCAAACCAACATACAAAAAGACAAAGAGTAAACAAACAGGTAAATCATGTATAAATGAATAGTTACATGAATGGAATTACGTAACTAAACAAACAATGAACAATGGAATAAATACCATTCATAAATTAATAAACGATTCAGCATAGAGGGGGGAAAAAAAAACATGCCATACAACCAATCAATAAAATCAAAATAACAAATACAAAATACAATATCAAATACATGAATAAATGCATTAACAAATCACCAATTAAACACGTTAGTGTTATACTAAAAAAACACACATACTTAAGCACACACATACATAAATAGAACAATAACTCAAAACATAATATACACATTAACAAACGCACAGTCACCACATAAGTTACAAGATCAATGAACCAACAAGCACATTCATACATACATACATACATACGTACGTACATACATACATACATGCATGCATAGATACATCACCCGCACATACATGCATGCATGCATGCATGCATACATTACATACGTCACACTACACTACACTACGCTACATTACATTACATTTCATTGCATTACATTTCATTGCATTACAAACATACTTACATACATACGTACATACAGGACATACAGTACATACATACGTACGTACATACATACATACATACATACATACATACATACATACATACATACATACATACATACATACATACATACATACATACATACATACATACATACATACATACATACATACATACATACATACATACATACATACATACATACATACATACATACATACATACATACATACATACATACATACATACATACATACATACATACATACATACATACATACATACATACATTACATACATACATACATACATACATACATACATACATACATACATACATACATACATACATACATACATACATACATACATATACATACATACATACATACATACATACATACATACATTACATACATACATACATACATACATACATACATACATACATACATACATACATACATACATACATACATACATACATACATACATACATACATACATACATACATACATACATACATACATACATACATTACATACATACATACATACATTACATACATACATTACAGTACATTGCATCACATCACATCACATCACATCACATCACATACATACATATATACATCCAATACATACATACACACATACATTACATGCATACATTACAGTACATTGCATCACATCACATCACATCACATCACATCACATACATACATATATACATACAATACATACATACACACATACATTACAAACATACATTACATTACGTTACGTTACGTTACGTTACATTACATTACATTACATTACATTACATTACACTACATAGATACATACATCACATACATGCAGCCCACATACATACACTACATTGCATTGCATTGCTTGGGAATACATTCAGGATTGGTTTACATACATTACACTACACTGCACTACACTACGCCACATTACATTACATTACATTACATACATACATGCATTGATTACATACATACATTAAAATCACATTGCATTATATTACATTACATTACATTACATTACATACAGTACATACATTACATACATGCATACATTACATACATACAAACACGCATACACACATACATACATACATACATACATACATTACATTACTTTGCATACATACGTGCATATGCTGCATGCATACATGCATGCAACCACACATTAGATGAACACCATTAAAAACAAAAACAAGCGACACATTAATCAATGAAACAACATAAAAAGCAACCACCAAAACAAACACGTGAATAACATGATACATGCATATGTAAACACTTAAGTAATGATTTATATACATATTTTTTCACGGCTACAACCATAATTTACAAACCAACCACATACACGCATAAAACACATACACGAATGAAGCAGTCAACACACACACACACACGGAACCAAAACAGTCACGCAAATATAACTAGAAACACAAATAAATCACTAACAACATCAGTACTACAAATACTGATAATATATAATGAATTACAGAAACAAACAAACAACACGCAATGCAGAAACACATCACACAATATGTCTTGAACACGCCAGTCGAGATATACTTGGGCGCATAACTCGAATTCATTCAAGCATTAGCTTTAGCCAACTTACCAGGATGACAGGAGGGCCGTTCAGGCATTCAGGCCACCTGCCATCTTGGCAGCTTCCTCCTTGCTTTTCCAATTTTTGCTTTTTCAGAAAGCACGGGGAAGCAGTTGTGACATGCTGCAACTATAGCTGGACTAGGACAAAAGGATACCACCGAAGAACGGAAGCTTCAAACCACCCTGGAGACTCAAACGTCAAGGAATTCCTAGTAATTCTCGGCATTGACTATGTTTTGGACACAAATGCCCGCAAATTACCGCAAAAGCCTTGAAACAGGAAAAGCCCGCAAATTACTGCAAAACACCCGCAAACAAAGGGGGCAAACGCTCGCAAAAAAAAGAAGCAAACATGCGCAAAACGCCAAACACGCCAAAAACGCCTTGAGAACGAGAATGCCTAGGAATTCCTCGGCATTGGAATCTCCAGGACCTACAGAAGCTGCATCCCCGAAAGGCTCGAGCTCAATTCTGGACGCTTTCAGTCGAGCTGCAACCTTGTCAAAAGAGTCATTGCCACTAACCACTGACACGCGCCGATTGCGGAGCTGCATGAGAGCAAATCAATCTCCAAAGATGCCTGTGGCATCCGCCGCAGAAGCCTCAGCACGGACGCAACAAGCGCTTCCCGGATTGCCTCATTGGCCTCAGCACAACAGCTTATTCAATGACACCCCTGTTCACCCTCAAGCATCTGATTGTTCTCCCATTTCAACTGGACTTCCCCGAATTTCTGGCCGGGGACCCCGGCTTGAGGGGTGTTTGCCAGTGAGGCTGACGGGCCATCAGGCTGTTGTAGGTGACCAGGTCCGGTGGGAGATCGATGCTTCTGCGGTGCTGCAGGGTGAGGAAGGCCTGGTCCCAGCTTTGCCCAGCGGCCAACCTCGTTGCGATCTTCGGCGAGGCCTTTGCGGCCGAGGCCAGCCGAATTCGTTTGTAGGGCGTTTTTTCTTGATAAGCTCCGGAGTGGTCTGACATCTGAGCTCAGTGGTTCTATGAAGCCGTTGCTCGATAGGGTTCTGGGTGGTTCTAAAATGTGCTGGGGATTCCACAAAGCAACTGCAAGGGTTCCGAAGTTCTGTGGAGGCCGTTGCTGGACAGGGCGTGTGGAGCGACTGTTAAGCAGTTGCTGAAGTAGACAGTTTCAAAGGCTTCTGGTAGCGATTGGGGATACCTGGGCATATTCCTTGCCGCGGCTCAACGGACAAGTCAAACCAAACACAAACTAGAAGAACGAGGGCCCGAAAGTGTAACACAGTGAGCGAAGCATGTTCTCTGCGCTTGTTCATGCGCAAGTTCACTCTGCAAGTTTCTCCGCGCATGTGTTTCGAGCAAACTTATCTGATCAAGTGTGTCTGAGCAAGTTTCTCTCAAGTTGTCTGAGCAAGTGCTCTGTGCACGTTCTCTGCGCAAGTTCTCAGCACATTTTCTCTGCGCAAGTTTTCCGAGCAAGTTTCTCTGCTCATGTTCTCTGCGCAGGTTTTCGGCTCAAATTTATCCGCTCAAGCGCAATTATCGATGCAACATGGAACCATGTCACACACAAATTTGTCCTTTGTTGCGTGCCCCATGATATTGTTTAAGATTCGCCAAAACCGGTAAGGATACCAACACCTCGCCGGTTCTCCTTGGGTGTCCCTCCAAAACAGGAAAGCAAGAAGCGACAACCAAAGGCTTCTGAGCAACGCATTGTAGGTGCTCTGGCTGGGTCTCAGGCTCAGCATCTTGGCCCTTTGCAGCAAACGCACGGCTTGTTGCCAGGGGCTGTTGGCAATGAAGGCGTTGCACCCGATTTGATTCAGCTCGCACTCGCCGTTCAAAAGATGAAGCCCGCAATCCTTGGTCGCAGTGTTTGGCGGCTTGCCTTTCGAGGAGAACGACACACACACACACACACAGAGACTGTAAGCAATGACCACCAAACATTCAGCAAGATTGACCCCGCATGAATCAGCTTGCTGATGCTTTTTGAGCGGTAGTTCTTCGCCCAAAGTGAATCCGCTCTGAACTGGAAGCCCGTTCGGCAAGTGCAACATGGAATCCACCCAAAGGCTCGGAGGGAAACAGTCCAGGAACATCCAGCATCTATAAGCACGGAGGTGCAGTCTCCCTTCAAAAAGAAAAGTAGCTGTCCAAAAACCGTGGTTTTTGTGACCACGGTTGTTGGTGGTCAAAGGCTTCTAGGTCCAAGATGCCCAGGTGAAACTGGACAAAGCAGCCCCGGAGGTGACAGCATCCGATTGCAGCTTTTGGAGCCCCATGTTCTGGAGAAGCAGGGCAGACTGTTGCCACGCAGTGCAGGCCATGGCCGTGTTAAAGGTGAAGAGATCGGGCTCCAAGTGCTTGCCGCGCAGGTCGTTCATGAATCTGCCTGCCATGCGCCATTGGGAAATCACCGCTATCTCCGAGTTGTAGGTGACAATGGATGCCCGCACCCAACTTTTGCGGAGATGACTGAGGAGGAAAATTGCAGTCGCCCAGCGGGCCTTCGAACAAGAGTTCAATGCGGAGTTGTAGCTGACCACTGTAGCTTGTAAAGCCTGCTGCCGCATGTCCCACAACAGAAAAGAGGCATGTCGCCACGCAGACTTCGCACATGCACTGATCACGGCGTTTTGCAGGATGCTGTCAGCCTGGATGGTCTGGGCATGCGCCTTTTGCAGAAGGGACACGGCTTTGAGCCACTGCTGGGCCTTTTCGAAACATGACCCCAATGAACTGTAGAGGATCACGTTGGCCTCCCCCCGCGCGGCTTCGAAGCCTTCCAGCACCTGCAAGGCGGCTTCCCACTGCCGGCGCTTGCCCAAGCCGCTCACCGCCTTGCTGCAGGAAACGACCTCCATGGAACTCCCAGGTGCCGGAACGGCCCCATGGTCCAAAACGTCGAACTCCAGGGCTGTGAATCATCCGGCGCCCAAGTGCCCCAAGAGCCGGCCATGCACCGGAAGCGTTGGAAAAGTGAGCTACCCCACTGCCTTGACAACCTTGGACCTTCTGGGCTTGCGCCGGGTCTGCTATCGCTACACGCGATTCTCGCCAAACCGATGTTTCGACTGTGCTGATCGTGGCTCTGAGCCTGCGGCGCAAGACTTGGGGAGAGGAACTTCGGCAAATGAGCCGAAAGTGAGAAGCATAGTACCGCATGCCGGGCAACCCAACCGCCTAACGTAAAGCGAACCAATTCTTAGGGGAAGGCAGGATGCTGCACCAGGAACCTTCATGGGCTTGGCATGAGGGGGCCCTCGTTGGGGTCTCACAAGGAAAGGCAGCAGAACCGCATAGCTATTGCCAGCAACCGATTGAAATCTTCGGAGCCCTGTGTGGATAGGCACTGCATGCGCCCCCTTCCGCGTCCCAACAAGCAGAAGCCCCATCTTCGTGTTTTGTTCCTCGGTTTCCATGGCCAGCAACCGCAAATCAGAGCAAACGGCACACCTTTCCGCCATAATATGCCTGAGTTTTGAGAGCAAACAACTCTCACAAATAGTGACTCGGCAACACACACCAACAGAGCAAGGTTTGCCCACAGACCCACTACAAGTTGGCGCGATGGCCATTGAGAGCAAGGCTAGGATGCGACGGTCAAACGACCGGACGGGCATGGCTCTCAAAAGGAAGGGCCCAAAAGCTTGTTTCCTTGTAGAGGAAGCCTTGAAAATGGCAGGGGACAACTTTTTGTTGCCGGGGGAGAAGGGGAAATAAATCAGAGGAACAACTGGCCCTGCCGACCATTTCCGTCGGTCTGCCACATGCCGCCTCCTGGCAGCTCCATCTCGAGCCAAAAGCCGCGTCCGGATAGTTTGGGGACAGGGGTCTCTCTCAAAAGTGCTTCTTACAGGGCAAATCTGGAAGAGAAAGTCCTCAATATGTTTAAGCATTCTTGGGACATCCCGGAATGGGAAATGGGCACCAAGCGAGCCCCGTTCCGATTCACAGGCAAGCTTCGTCGCGCGGCCTGCAAACCGAAGGCGCTCATTCATGCGTTCAGTCGAGCCGGGAAGTACTCTGTGCCAACCAGGAACATCTTTCCCATGAGATCAATTTACCCCTGCTGCTCGGAAGGGTAAAAAATAAGGCTTTGGCGTACTTTGTGTTGATTTCGGGTCAAGCCCGTCCAAAAAACTTCCCTTAGTTTGCACCACATCCAGCTAAATTGTCATACACGCCACAAACCAGAAGGAAAGGGACCCAAGTAAGCCCCCTACCCTGGAAAATGCTTCAAACAAATCCCCAAAAGTGCCGGTGCGGGCCAGGAAGCATCCTCCACCTGCCCAAACGCCGCCAGAAACTCCTTCAGCTCCACACTGCCCAGCTCAGCCGGCAAGGGGTCAATGAACACCTCTGCAAAATGGATCCCTAAATGGTCTGTTTGCTCTGGTTGAACACCTGGCGTTCTGCGTATGTCATCTGATCTAAAAGCACTCACATCGGTTGCTGGTTTGCTGTGGCATTCCCTCGCACCCACAGGAAGCTTCCCGTATTGCCCCCTCGAAATTGGTCTTGTGGCATGAGACCTGCTTGGCCCTTTTGGACTAGGCGGGCGGATGGGGCCAGGATGAAAAAACATTACACAGCAAACACGCCACAATGAGGTTTTAAGCCACGCACACACACGAGTCATCGTTCAAGCAGGCTCTCTATCTCTCTCTCCCCTCCCTCCCTCCCTCCCTCCCTCCCTCTCCCTCCCTCTCTCCCTCTCTCCTTCTGGCTCACATTGGCTTACTCATTCCACACTCCGCGCTCCATACTCCACTCTCCGCTCCATTCACCTTTTCCTCTCCTCTCTGTCTTTTCTCTGTCCCTCTCTCTATTCAGCAGAGTGTTCACACTTAGCAGAAGCACACTGCCATACTGAACCAAGTGGTCAACCTGTTTAACGGCATATGGCATATGATGCACATAAAGAAAACGACGAGTTCTTGCACAACTTGACTTGGCTGTCTCTGGCAAAGCGACCCCCAGCCGGAGATGGCAGCTTCGGCCAGCAACGGAAGGATTCAAAGTGCCAAAAAACAAGGAGCCACACACACACACACAAACACCCACACACACACACAAATCAGTCAAAAGCATGGTGACCTCTTTTGCCTTCTGCGCCCAAACCGCTGGACTTCGGCCCCCAACTCGGCTCCATCCCTCCATCCCTCCGTCCATCAAGAGCCGAGCACCTCGCGGTCCGAGGGCTGCGGTGCCAGTTGGGGCCGAAAAGGCATTGGGACCTCGTCCAGGAAGATGGTAAAGTCCTGGGGTAGCGCAACCTCGGTCGGGCCCCTGGCTGCACGTTTTCAGATCCCCTGCAAAAAGTCTAACTTTTAGTGGGCCAATTGGACGCCACCACTAAACCAACTACATCGCTCAAAAACTAAGGGGGTGGCTGGGAACTGCCACGTTTTGATGGTGCCACAAGCTCCAACATGGAGCATCACCTCCCTCCAGTCTGGGTTGCATACATAGGCTATATGTGCGGCTGTCTAAACTCCTTGTATCGCGCAGTGGGCACTGCCAGTTTGGGATGCCCCCATCGCTTCCCGGCGTGCTGTTTGCTCTTTTTTTTTTGGGGGGGGGCATCGCTCTTTCATTGTGTATGTTCAAATACGGGCATGGCTAATGTTGCAATGGGTCCCCAATATCCAAGTCAGAAGGCCTCCAAACACAATAACTTCCAAGCCAGCCGGCGCTACTAAACGTAAATTGTTTCCGCTTGGGGTTTCTCCACGTACATGACCAGCTTGCGCATCACTGCTGCAGGGTGTTGTTGAGTATGCTGCTGCAAGGTGCTGTTGCACGGTGCTGCTGCAGGACGAGAATAAACAGTTGCGCAGGGGTGCTGTTGCAAGGCGCTGTGCAGGGTTCTGTTGCAGGCTGCCAAAACCAAGGTCTTTCCCAAGGCAAGTGCTGTTCAGGACCGAAATGGCAACTGGGCAGCTTGAAGACCTTCAGGCATCGCTTCGGGCATCGTTCGGGCATCGCTTCGGCGCATCTTCTTTTTTCATTTTATGATGGTGGTCTATGCGCCACCTGGCAACAGCTGTCAAGTGTTCACATGGATTCGTCGTTCTGTGAGGGACTTGTGAAAATGGATGGTTTCTGCTTGGTTTTCCTCTGAACCTCCGCTTTCGCGTAGGCAAGAAACATTGACTCTGCGTTTGTTGATTCATACAACAGCAGGGCATCGCTTCTGGTCTCCATCGCTTCCCGCAGCATTCTGCACTTTTGGAAAACCGATGTCCGCGGAATACATATTCTAGATAACGCAAGTTTTGAGGGTTGCTCATATAACTTATAGCCATATTGGGGAACCAAGCCCGAATGCCCCTGACAGACCATGGTTCGAGGCAAAAAGGCTTGAACATCCGGGTGTCAGAAGAACCGCAGGTGGCGAATAGCTTCCTCAAGGCATGCAATGGTTTATAGGGGTCCTTCCCTCATTCCCGGCGGGTCCTTTTTCAAAGGGACCCCGTGTCAGGTTCCATGTTGATTGGTGGCAGCGCAAAATCAATTGCAAACTGACAAATTGGGTTTGCATGATAAATTAATGAGATGCACACGCACATTCTGGGTCTAGAACAAATCCTTCAGTAATTTGTTGCGATTTTGACGGTCTTGGTGCCTCAAAAGAAGAGGGGATCTCCCACGGATGGAAGCGGGAATGCGCGCCCCCCCCTCTCCCGCAGACTCGACTGCTTCTTGGGCGGACTTTTGCTTGTCAAAGACGGGGGGCATATTTACAATGAGGGGAGCTCAAACATGAACCTGGACAACAAATGATTTGTCAGAATGCTCATGGAGCCTCTTGTTGCCAAGCGGCCAAAAGGTCCCTCTCCTTAGTAAACCGCTTGCACCACCGGCAAGTACACTTGGTGAAAAACAACAAGCGACTGGTCAGGCTGCACAATGCAATCTTCCCGCCCTTCTGACAGCTGATTTACAACCAACCCAAAAGCAGTAGCAGGCGGGCAAATGAACATATATCTTATGAAGCAGGATGCAGCTCTCTCTCTCTCTCTCACCATTCTGGGTGAATGGATGGAGTTCTCCACAAACAAACCTCTCTTCGCTCCTTTAAAGGTCTCCAGTTCGAATGGAGCTGGATGCCGGCTACGCCGCAAGCCCGGCCCACACAATTTCCCAAATCAGATCCCCAAATAACAAATGCACCTCATTGCATTTCCTGCGGTTTTTGCCTTAACCCTTAACCATTCAAAACATGCATCCCCAAATTTCGCACACTTCCCAATTGCTTGAAAACTCGTGCGGGCATGAGACTGAACATACGCGTTCGGTACCGGGTACCGTCATCCCCCTGTCCGGCTGACAAAGGATACATCGCAAATTTGCCTGCCGGAACAATATATTGCAAAGTGGGCCGGCCACAACGGTCCAAGTCTTGCGCACGCCCTTTCCCATTGCTCGCAAGCTTTCCGAGTTCCGGTGGCAAGTGGCATGCTCGTTTGAACCTAAGCCTGGCCTGCTGGCTTGAAGCCCCAGAAACACACGAGATGGAGCTGGGACAAAACGCCCCCGGTCCTCCAATGGCAATCAGCTGGTCTCCGGCTACCCTGACACTCACTTAACCGAAGCAAGGTTCCGGCGGATGTAATCGCCAGCAGTCGATCTTCTCGCAATTCACGCCCCAGTTGCCTCAGGCAAAGCCCATAGCTTTTCACAGTTGCAGGCCACTTTTTGTTGGATGGTTGTAATCTGAGAATGCAAGCCAAGCTGCACAAAGCTCTTATGGGGTCCGAGTCGATTTTGCGACCTTCTGGATGGGTGTACCTGAAGCGAAACTGCAGCGCTTCAACGACCCCGCTTGAAAAACGCACGTATCGCCAAGCACAAGACC